GTTGAGTTTTTCTTTTTAGATACAACTATCATCTTAAATGTCAAATTTTGAAAATCACGACTCACATTTCTCAAAACATGACACTTAATACGGGACAAAAGGAGTATATTTTATCTAAATTTCCATATTTTCATATTCCATTCAACCACCACATTAGTTCAGATTATATATACATATATATATCTCTTTTTTATTTAATTTTAATTTTAATTTTTTTTATTGGTTCTTTAGTCTTTCTTTTCAATTGGTTCTATACACCATTGCTAATTTGTGTTGTGATATTTTCTATTAATGGAGTTGATTTTAATTTTTGAGGGGCTTGTTTTACTCTAAGATTTTTCATACTAAAAACATTCCATTTTTTTTGCAATGAATTTGGGACAATTCCAATTTCTTTGTGCCAAATGCATCGGAAGCAAGGTTGTAGGCGAAGAAGAATATAAATATTATCAACGTTGCTTTTAGAATTACAAAAGAAAATGGTCACAAATATACATGAAAAATGAGTATAAACAATATGCCTCGAATATAACTCCAAATGGTTGACTATGTTGGAAAAAACTTAAATTTTGGTGTCTCATAAAAAATTAAGTCTTAAGATCAATTCTTCTTAAGTGTGAACAGTTATTCAGAAGCAACACCTTAGACATAGTTAAAATTTTACCCGATCTATGTATGTGTGTGTTGAGGAGGGGGGTGCCTTGCACAAGTCCAGTAGATTAATCGGGACAAAGTATCGAATACCTTAATTATCGAAATATATATATATATATATGTTCTAAATATAACAACTTGAACATGTAGTAGAATAGTTAAGGAGTTTTCTGGAATGAATGGTAACAAAACGCTCTGAATTCAATTCCCACACCACCTCAAAACACCAAAAATTTACACACATTCGGGACTTATCTTAACAAAATTCCGAGTACGAAAGTGTCATCCTATACTTAAAATGGAATTATGCTATGAAAGTATACAAGTTTTTTATACTGTTTACAATGAAACTTATAGCATGTGTTGGATGTTGTGATTTGATATGTGTATAATGCTGCATTTATGTTTTTAGCATATTTACATGAAAAGTGCAAGTGATGCAATAAAAAAAGTGACGGCCATAATTATGTCGCAAAAACAAAAGGTCCCTGGTTGGAAACAAAGCCAAAATCAGAAACAACTCTAACTTAGGCCCATCCCTATGACTTATGTCCAAACACACCACGCCAAGCTAATGCTTACTTTCAAGCCCCCCAAACTACACGCAAATGCCATTATTAACTAAGCCACCAAAAAAAGGTCCTAACTTCTCTAACACACTCTACCATACACAACACAAACCAACCTTTGACATCATGCGCGCGCGCGCGCGCGCACACATATATATGCATGCATATACAATGATACAAATACATTGGGTCTTCTAATATATATATATTAGCTTTGTATAGAAATGTTGACTAAAGCTTGAAGAGGCTCAAGTTAGGCTTAATTGCATAGTTACCCAAATTCAATTTCTACCAAATTTTAATTAGGAAGTCAATTAGAACTAACCCACCAACATTGCACAAGTCCTAGAGGCTTGCCAAATTTATATTATTTATTGTGAGTTTTTAATTTTTTTAAAAAGTAATAGAAGATCTCTAATTTCATTTAATTCTATTAGTATATTTTGAGGCCTCAAGCTCTATTATGTAAAGATCAACTAGTTGTTGATCCATGGTTTTAATAAAGACAATTTGAATTTGGCGAATTGAAATTCTAGTTTATTTGTACTTTCAATTGGCCACAATTTGTTGGTTTTTTTTTTTTTTTTTTTTTTGAATGGTAATTGGCCACAATTTGTTACTTGAACAAAAACGTAGATATTGTGGAATCATGTTGAATATTTGATGTTTAAGTTCCGTACCTTGAAAGTACACATGTTAAGCAACTATTTTCTAGCTCTACTTGGTCAATATTATACTATGGCTCAGTTAAGACGGTTTAGCATTTCATGTAAACAACACAATGGGATAATGGTAATTTTATTTGTTTTTTTGGTTTGGATTATCCGGTGTATTCGAGACTTCGCCCTGACTAATTTTCGAAGACTTAAGAATGGTAGCCTCTCCACTCCGGACAGGTAAGTCACTGAGTATGGCAGCGGAGGTCTGACTCCAAGAATCGTAAGCTCTTAGTGAAAATCGAAGCCCATTTGGTACTAGTAAGCACATAATGGTAAATTTAAGTGGACATTATTAATTTTAATTTTAATTTTATTTGTTTTAATTTTTTTATTTTTAATGAAGTCCATAAAAACCTAAAAAATAACCAAAAAATAAATAAATTAGTCCTCTAAAAGGGCAAAGAATCATCTCCCTCAAACAATCATTAGCTTGACCGCTAGTTTCAGAAGGTGGAGGTTAGCTTCAATTAAGTTGACAAACAAAGCACTAATGACCAGAATTCAGAGAGCTTGGAATATACAGTCTTTCATCATGAACAATCTTCTCCATGTCTTACTAGAGAATCTTCATCCAGAACATTTTAGGTTTCGTGTTCAAATTTCACTTTCATCGAAAAAATTAAAATACGTGGATCAAAAGAAGATATTAAAGAATTTAAATATTAAAGTATATTTATGTTCAAACCTTTTGTTGCTTTTGGGATTGTTTGTTTGTACATTCGTGATCACATTAACACAATACTTACCCTTTACCGAAGAAAGAAAACTAAAATTGCACCATGTTTTATACAAGACAATTATAAAAGGATTCTAATTTATTCAAAGACAAAATGAAAAAGTTAATTAAAATTATTATCTTACAATAATTCATGATATGAAAAGAATATAATCAACATATAAATATGCATAACTCATTTATGTATGTGTGTGCAAAAAAATTAGAGAAGAGAATTCATATAAAGTAATTATGTGATTTATTCTCATTGAAAATGAAATATTTGATTAATTATCATACAAATTAATGTGCATAAAAAAATATGTATGCAGATGGATACACTTTGTAGAGTGAAAAATCTTTCATTTATTATTCATTAAATAAGTTTATAATGACTAGGAATTTAGATAGACTGACAGCTTTTAATTATATTAAAAATTGTTACAAACTAATTAGTGTATATATATATATATATATATTTTTACCAATAATTAGTATATATTATATTAGTTAAAAATGCACATAAGAAATAAAATTTCTATTGACATTTTATATAGTAGTATAGAGAGAGATGGTATTGATTTACCTAAAATTGTTGGAATTTTTTTTCTCTCTAAACTTGTTGGAATGACTAAAGAAAATCATAAGAATATTTTCTAATTTGCATCCATAAATTGTTATGACCATTAGAAGAAAAAAAGAAAAAGTTCAAAATAATAAAATGTGAATTGCAAAAATATTACAGTGTTCAATAATCACATTACCTTTTCTTTATGAGAAATTGAGAACCGACCACTGCAATTCTTGTATTCGTTACAACCATTTTTAAAGCTTTGTTGCAATTTAAGTTCAGTTTTTATGAGACTGCAAATTAATGTATGTGTAAAATTGTAAATATATATATATATATATATATATATATATATATATATATATATATTGCCATTCCCTTTATTAATTAGATGAAACAAGCTCTCTCATCCTTTCATTTTCTTTAAACTTACAGAACCAAGAATCATTTTCCAAAGCTTTACATATATCTTCAACATTTTCCTCTGTAAGTGGCCTACTCTTATATTGTATTTTGTTCTAATTTATTAATTTATCAGTTTTGGGATCCTCAATGGAACTTTTTCTGGATCTTTAATACTTGTTAGTACACCTTGTATATAGCACTGAGAGTTGAATTCTGAAGTGTGTGTGTATATATATATAGACATACACACATACATACATATACAGTGAATGCAGGACTCTGTTTTTGTTTTGTATTATTTATTTTATTTTTGTGACATGGAGGTTAGGGGTTGAAAATTGAAAATAGCCTGCAAAGATAAAATTACATAGATCAAAATCGAAAACAGTCTCTCCATGCAAAGATAAGATTGCATAGTTCAAAATCGAAAACAAACTCTCCTTGCAAAAATAAGATTGTGTACATTCGACCCTCTCCAAACCGGGAAGCCTTGTGCACTAGGCTACCCTTTATGCTCTGTTTTACTTTCTTTAGTTTTAGACTTTTAGGTGATGTCAATTTTATAAAGATGTATAACTGTACACTGTAATGTTCCAAAGGAACAAAGCAACCCAAAAACACAGGCACACATATTACAGATATACATATTTGCTATATACACAGGTCCTAAAAAAAACACATGACAAAATAGCATGATAAATATTTCATTTTCATAAATCCTTAATTACCCAACAAATATCCTTCATATTAGGGAATATTTTTTTTGAGAAAAATATTCACACACACACATATATATATACATGTATGAATTAAAACCCATTACCATGCAAAATAGGCTTCTAACCATGCAGAAATGTAATCACATATAAGCAAAACATTTTTATAACTCTTTAGCTGGTTTCTAAATTTTATGATATGTATATATAGGCAATTATATTTAAGATGCCCCATTCAATTTTAATGATATATATATGTAGGTGGGTATAGAAAGTGATCATTATTGTGTTGGTAAACAAGCATAAACTAATTAACTAACCAATATTAATTTGATAAATTTTCTTCAGTTGAGAGAGAAATATATATAATCTAAAGGTCAAAGTCGTCACCGGCCAAGTACTGATCCTTCCGTCTCAATCTCTTGTTTCTCAATCCATACCTCTGAGCCGTAAAGAACATTCTCTAATCAGCCGTTGCTTCTTTTCAAACCATTCCCCCCTCCTCTCTCTCTCTCTCCCCCCTCTTTCTCTCTCTAAATGGCAACTTCACTTTTCTATATATATATATATATACAACCATCCTCTCCCATACCTCCTACTATTATAGCAAACTTCCAAATCTTTTGGCTGATTTGTTTTCTATCTGAAAAGTGAAAGATAAAAATGATTCTACATAGGCATTTTGTCCTACTATTTATCATTTTCATGTATAATTTCCTCTCATGTTTTGGTAGTTACCAAGACTACCCATTTCTTCATAATCTTGATCAATCTCATAGTTATAATCCTAGAGCCTACTCTCCATCTTTTGGCGCAATTGGCGACGGTAACGATAACGAAAACCACAAGTTCAAGTCCAATTTTGAGGGGAACGTGATCAAATATGACACTGATGAAAATTTTACAAGGCTTGCTCAAGTGGGAGGCCCTTCGAGTGCACCAAAATTGGTGAATGTAGATGATTTTGGAGCTAAAGGTGATGGAACAGATGATTCTCAGGTAATTCATTGAGAGAGTAAAAAAATTGTGATTAATTTGAAGCTCTATGTGGTTGCAACATTTTAGACTATGAATTTTATGACATTTACCCTTTTTTTTTTGGGTTTTTAATATTATTTGATGATTTTTTTTTGTTATTATTATTTTCGGAAGCCAAGCATTATTATCACATTTAGTACCTTTTTAACAATATTAATGCTTTTTTTAAATATATATATATATTGGGTTTTTATTATTAATGTTGGTACAATGTGATCGAGTTTCTTTCTTTGTTTTTTTGGAAGCTACAATGTGAGTTTCGATCTGTTCTTTATTTTTCTATTGTTCAGGTTATATATATATTTTAATTTTTAATTTTTTTTTTTTTTTTTTCCTTTTTTAGGCATTTAAGAAAGCTTGGAAGGTGGCTTGTTCATCAAAGGGAGGTGTTCTTGTGGTTCCTCAGAAGAGGATTTATCTTCTTAAGCCAATCACTTTCTCAGGTCCTTGCAAATCTCTTCTTACTATGAAGGTGAGTTGTTACTTTTTAGTCCCTCAGTAATTAATGCACAAATTAGCAGCCAAACATGCACTAAGAATTGGTGAACTGCATGTTCATTACAGATAATTCACACATTCTTCACGCATGCAAAACCAATATAAATATATATATGTGTACACACAATGGCTTTTTGCCACGTGGAACATTTTCAGAAGGGTGGTTTATCTTTCTTTTCAATTTCTTCTTCTAGATTTATGGAACAATGAAAGCTTCCAACAATGTATCAGACTACGAAAAAGATCGAAGATATTGGCTTATGTTCGATAATATTAAGAACTTTGTAGTTGAAGGTGGTGGAACCATCGATGGCAATGGGAAGATATGGTGGGAAAATTCTTGCAAAATCAACAAATCCCGTGTATGTGTGTGTGTTTTTCTCTGTGTAATTATATATATATATATATATATATCAAATTCTTCCAAGTGTTCCCAACTAATTATTTGTATTGTTCTTTTTCATGTCTTGCAGCCTTGCCAGCAAGCACCAACAGTATGTTCTTAGCTTTTCTTCCACTATTACTATTACCAAATATACACACACAATGTGCTCGCGTTTGAAATTACAATCCAGTGCATTAGAATTGAAATAGAAAGAAATTTAATTAGTTCAATTCAAGACTCCAATTCCAAATTTAATGCTTTACTCAGTTCGAAACTCAATGTGGGCCCACGGACTCCTCTCACATTTGGTTTTGAAGTTTCAGATGGACCTTGTATTATTACTCATATAAATATATATATATATATATAGATAGAGAGAGAGAGAGAGAGAGACATATATGTACATTAATATCTGGTGTATGTCATGTCCATGCATAATGCTTGCAAGAAAAGATCGGATTCGATATTTGAGTATTAATTTTATTTATTTATTTATTTTCTGAATGGTTTTGCAGGCTGTGACCTTCTATCAATGCCAAAATTTGAGAGTGGCTAACCTAAGGATTAAAAATTCACAGCAAATTCAACTTTCTTTTCAGAAATGTGTTAATGTTAAAGCTTTGAATCTCAAAGTAATTGCACCGGAGAAGAGCCCCAACACTGATGGAATTCATGTCACTGCAACTCAAAACATTCAAATCAGGAGCTCTGTCATCAGAACAGGTTAGGACATAAACAAGAAAATAAAAATAAAGCCAAATATTTGAACAAAATTCTTTTTTTTTTTTTTTTTTTTTTTTTTTTTTTTTTTTACCAACAACATGCTTTCTGAAATTTTCAAGTTATATGTAATTTTTCTAACATTTTTCAAAATATTTTTTCAATAAGGTGATGATTGTATTTCAATAGTTAGTGGATCTAAAAATGTTCAAGTCATGGATATAGCCTGTGGACCAGGTCATGGAATCAGGTACCAAATCCTAACTTTAACCAACTTAACTACGAAATATTGAATTTTATTTATATATATATTTTTTCTAGCTGAGAATCAACCCATCCGCTAACCACTTTGAACTCCCGGACTCCAAATACAAACGATTATCCGCAAATCACACATTTGCTTTCTTAATTTTCAGCATTGGAAGTTTAGGAGCAGGAAATTCAGAGGCCTTAGTATCAAATGTGGTGGTCAACAGAGCTAAACTTTCAAATACCACTAATGGAGTGAGGATAAAGACTTGGCAGGTAAGACTCCATTTTCCAACTTCCATATTTAGGCATAATGCCACTTCTATGTCCCACACATATAGAATTCTATATATATATATATATGCATGTATATTCATTATTATTAATTTATGTATGTGTATTCATCTTTATTTTAATGAACAAATACAATATATTTATAATAATTTTTAATATAATAATATAAAGCCAAGCAATAAAAATTGATAAAAAAAAAAAAAAAAAAAAGGGAATGTAGTAGTTCACTTTTTACCTCAACGAGATGAGCCGTGATCCAATAAAATCGTATGTGAATACATTATTTCAAGCTGGAAGTAATAATATTGAAATTAGATTTAATTGTGTTGAACGCATTTACATTATAGGGTTGTGCCCCACAGAGGATCTTGACTAACAAGATCAAATAATAGTGTTAAATATACAATATATATATATATATATATATATATATATATATTTTCAACGATTTAGTTTAGTTGGTGACTCCTCTCTGAGGGTCCAAGTCTTACTATAGGCAATTTTGTGAGCTTTCGGAAAAAAATTAAAAAATTAAAAAAAAAAACAAAACAAAACAAACAAACCAATTTTTAATACTACGTAATAAGGAATAATAATAAATTGAAACAAGCTTTAACAAATGAGTAATGAAAAAAACAAAAAAAAGAGAGATGCATTTATAAATGTCACCAAGAAGCAAAGTAATGCTATTGAATGGAGAACAGAGATGAATTATAAAGTGTATCTATCCTTCATTGTATGACCCAACAACAAACTGGAGAGAAGAGATGGATGATCTATCACTCATTGTATGACCGAACCACCCAACCATATATATATATATATATATATATATATATGTTAGAATATAAAAAAATGATCAATTGTAATATTCATTTTGCTTGATATACAGGGAGGATCTGGATATGCAAAGAACATCAAATTCCAAAACATTGCTATGCACAATGTGAGCAACCCTATAATCATAGACCAAAACTACTGTGACAGAAGCAAACCATGCCCTGAGCAGGTAAAAAAGTCGAAGTCCGCCAATTTCAAAACAATCGCAGCCCTTAATTTTGCATGATTAAGTCAAAATCATATTAATCTAATGGCAGGACTCAGCTGTGCAAGTTAGCAATGTGGTGTACAAGAACATCAAAGGGACCAGTGCTTCAGATGTGGCCATAAAGTTTGAGTGCAGTAAGAGCTTCCCATGTGATGGGATCTTGTTGCAAGATATAAAGCTAGTCCGCGAAGAAGGTGGAGGAAATGCCAAAGCTTCATGTCAGAATGTGAAATTGACAAGTGTAGGGAGGGTTTTACCAAATTGCCCTTCTGAAGAATTGGACTTGTAGGTTTGTTATTGATTGCTTGGATTGTGTAAATATCGATCATTTATAGAGTACTTGTTTAGTGGTATTTGTATAAAATTTGTTGTTGTTTAGTGAAATAAAAGTGAAAAAGACAGACATATGTTGTTTGTGTATAAATCATTTCTTATAGCTAAAAAGTCGTACTATATTAATGAGGTTTATTTTCCTTCCAAGTAAATAATAACTTAAGATCTATAAGTTTATAATAACTTTGGATTTTGAATAAGTGTGTTACTTGTCAAGTTACGGAGACATGTAATTTAATACTATCTCCTCTACTTTTAACATAGGAATGATGATCATTAAGTTTTTTAATATCGCGTTTGGATACACCGGTAGTTTGAATTTGAAATTAAAGAAAATTTAGTTATAAAATAATACAAATGCTTTTTCCAATTCCAAATTCAATTATTCAAATTAGGTGCTCTCAAACATAGCCAGAAAAAAAAAAAAAATGCAGGAGTGCAACTTGAAAAGTTATTACATAGTCCTGAATCATTTATACCGACCAATTATCAATCAACCCATAAACAAAAAGTGGAATAAAAATTAATGACATAAAAGTTGTATATTTGTTTACTTTCCAATGAATGATTGGCCCGAAACCATGTAATTGTCATACAACTTGGATGAAACAACATGAGCTCGACCTGATTTTTATCGAGTCTAAACAAAAATACAAAGTAGAGTTGACAAGTGGGCTAAGAAATATCGACTAAACACAATTAGATTTGAGCTTCCATTGAGGTGTCAGCAATTTAAGTCTAATCCGAACCTGAATTATACTTAACCTTTGGATGTGATATGGGCTAGCATTGTGTTTGGATTAGATTGAGCTTGTAGTGAAGCTTTTATAACTTGGGATTGAAACTACGAGACAGGCCTGCCCTTTGCACTTATGAGTGTGACAATATCTATGGGTTTTCATGGGAAGCCTGTTAGGCTGATCCATTTCTGTCTTCGTATCCAACTACTCTGATCCAAGATATTGGGCCAGCCCAGTCCAAATTACTTCACCACTGGGCTTTACTTAAATGACTGGAGCAGACAAACCTGACCTATCAAGGAAATTCTGTTTGTCCGCTCCAATCATTTTTTTTTTTTTTTTTTTAAATCACAAGGTCCTACTCATGATGCAATTTCAACCGTCTGATCCTTGATCTCGAATTAAAATTAAAAAAATTACAGTGTCCTACTCATGCAATGTGATATTTAGTTATTGAGGCTCTAATGTCACAGTACATTATAAGATGATACATTATTATGATGATAAAGACTCGTCAATGGTACACAATTTGATTGATAGAGCTATGTGAGCTAGAAAATCCACGTCAGTAGATTTGAAGTTATCAATTTGTATGGTGGAGATTGGATTAAACAATTCATGAGAGTTGATATGATCTCATGCATATAATAACAATGAAGGATCTATTTGTATCATTTGAGGTGTGAAAAGTAAGGATAAGAATATAAGATGATGATGATGATTATTATTATTATTATTATTTTCTTTCTTTTCCCATCTAAAGTATGAAGAAAAGTGCTAAGTAGAGTTGGGGTTGAACAAAAAAAATTGGTTGAACTGATAAATCAAATCAGACCGATAGTTTTGATTCGATTTTTTTACCATTCGGTTTGGTTAAGGTTCCAAAAATATGAAACTATTTATAAACGATTCGGCTATGGTTTGAGATTCTATAAGACCAAATAAAATCGTAAAATCGAAAGAACCGTTTTTCTTTCGGGTTGGTTCGGTTTCATTGGCTTCATGGTTCGATTCGGTGCCAAATTTTATGGAATCATTAAGAATGGTTTGGTTTCAAAATATTCATAAATTGGTCCAATCCGAACCGTGTGCAACCTTAAGTAGAGTCATAGTCATGTGAGCTGCACTGTGAGACTCACATGAAGCAATGGTTGAGAATGTACAATCGTGACATACGATATTTGGCTTTTGATTATAAGTCATCTGACCAATGGACATTAACTCAGATGGTATGATCTCTCTTCTTTAAAAGAGAGGTTGAGTATTTGAACTCTAGTTTTGTACTTAAATTATTTATTTTTTAAAAATAAATAAATAAAAACAACACAAATAATATAATATTACAACATTGACCCCCATAAATAAGTGATTCAACAAAGAGAGATGGGCAGCCTAGTGATTGAAGAGGGTACTACTTCAACCCATTCTTTTTCTTGGTTTGGTTCCAAAACCAACCATACCCTTTTGCCATTTTTCTTATTCATTTAGACGAGTAATAATCTAAACTATTTACCCTTTTGTCTTTCCTTATTTGTGAATCAACATAACCAACTGCCTCTCCACTTCCCAAGCAATCTTGACTCTTGAGGACATTTTGCTTTCAAACAATTTTAACTGTTGTGGAATTATTTTTGACAACTAAAAACATAATTCCTCATGCTTCTGGAAGAAAAATGTTTTAAAATTAAAAAAAAAAAAGAGTCAATTAATCAATATCAATTACTCTTTTTAATAAGGAGACTGATAAATTAACCCCGAATAATTATTGAATCTGACGTATTTTTGTCCATCTTATCAATTTAAACAGTTTTCAAAAATAATTATTTAACACATGATAAAAATGACCAACCACGTTAAATTCGATACTAATTCGATGATTCCTTTTTATTTCTCCAATCATTATTCTTTTCAATACGATAAAAGTACATTGAAGTGAAAATGTTCTATATGCATGAGTCTCTTTAAATATCCTATAATCCACCAATCAACAAATGCGCTTCGTGTCGAATTGGGAAAATTTCGAAAAGTGGTCCTAAAGGAATTTGAACCCCCACATCCTACTCCCATAGGCATATTCTTTGTCATTATATATTTGTATTTTGTACCATTTGAATCATACCATATGCATTTTGTTTGTCATTATATACACAACACACCCTTACAATTTACACATATATCATATATATACATTATAAAGCTACAAAATAAATACTTATATATATAAACTTCCTAAAATGGCACCTTTAAAAAATTTAATACTGCGCTGGCAAAATTTTAAATTAAATAATTATTTTAATCACTTCCTAACTTTAGTTTGTAAGATTTTCCCAAAAATATATATATATTGAGTTTGTTAGACCTAACATCTAATTGAAACTTTTAAAATATTATTACTTGTACATCACATGGAGGGTCAAACCAACCATTTTATTGACGCAGTCCAAAGATTTGCAATATTAAAATATGAATTGCCATCTAATAATCTGTACTATAAAATATATTAATAGTAATCGGTATCAACTTTTAATCTAACTTTTATGTATCAATAATTTTGGGGAAAAATAACCTTAAAAATTAATAATATTAATTTTGGAGAAAAAGCATAAGATAGTCTTTTGAATTTTTTTTCTTCTCTCTTTACTGTTTTCAATTAGGTCGGGGAAGGAAAAACAAAAATACTAGTTGAGGCGATTTTTTTTGTTTTTGTTTTTTTTTTTTTTTTTCACAAATTTGCCCACCTATTTGCCCCAAAACTTGAATTATTACTTAAGGGCCGTTTGGTAAGCACTTCTTCTTGGTATTTTTTGTTTTTGTACTGTAACGAAAAAAAAAAAAAAAAACCCAAGAAACATGTATTGCTGTAATTTGAATAGTATTGAAGTGCTTCAAAAAAAGACGCTTCAATCGAAAGCAAAAAGTTGATACTTCTGGTTACTTCTGCACTGTAACAAAAGCATTGCTTAAAAAAAAAAAAAACACTAAAATGTTTAAAAACTCTAGTTATTTACTTTTTCAAACTTGCAACAAAAATTTTTTACCAAACATATTTTCATGTTTTTGCTTCCCAAAATCTTATAACAAATATACGTTACCAAACGGATTTCTAAATAGTATTGAACATACTTCAAAGCAGCAACATTATTTTTTCTTCGGGTCAAAGTAAAAACACAAAACAATCGTGTTTGTAAAATGGGCCCTAAACTACAAGTCAAATCCGTCTCATTTAAATTTAGAATTTAAATTCCATCACAGAATATTATACGCAGAAAATAATCAAATGTTACAACACACAATTAATTTATTTTTATCCTGACAATAAAACTCTGGATATTGAAAGATGAGGAAGTACCGCATAATATATATTTTTTGTAACTAATCTATCACCCTACAGGTACATGGCCATGAATAACACCTTCCCTTGGCTAAAAATAAAAAATAATAATAAAAAAAAACTCCTTCCCAATTTTTTATTCATGGTATCTCTCTCTCTCTCTTTTTTTTTTTTCACTTTTATATTCTTTAGAATACTTAAGATTTAGTTGAACATTAAATTATTAGTGGTTGCAAATCACATGGAAGATCAAACCAACCATTTCATGGACTCACTCAAAAGATTTGTAGCATTATAATATCCATCAGCAGATATTAATACCAACCTTGGAATATTATGGATAAACTTTGGAACTTTTAATTTAATTCTTTATTCCTTGTTTTATATATATATATATATATATATATATATATATATATATATATATATATATCACTCGAGTGTATATATTTTATGTTGGGAACACTAGTTTGAAAAACAAAATCCAGTTCATCTCAAAACCTAACTAAGGGAATCTCATTCCAGTTCCACTCTTTTAGTTCAACTTTTTTGTACTTTTGGACCACATGATTTGACGCAAAATAAAAAATAAAAATAAAAATAAAATTGTCTCCAAAAGTGAAGTCATCTAAATTATTTTTTTAGTACCTTGTACTTCTAGCAGCTACAAGGGTATCATAGAAAAACATAAAATATTGAAAATTCGTCTGCTTAATAATATTTTTTAAAAATTGAGTTAAAACATTCACTTTTCAAGGAATAGTTTTTAGAGTAAAAGTGTAAAAAAATCAACCTTTGTACAAAAAAATATGTAAAAACTTAAAAAAAAATTCTTACGAAGAGTCGTGTGGTTTAATGTTATCTTCTTTATTTTTCAAAATGGGTAGTGAAGGTTTTGAATCCCCAAAGGGACAAAGTGAGTGAATGAGTTATGTGTTTTTTGTCATTAAAAAAAAAAAAAAAATTTAAAAAACAAAAGACATTTTTACAATTAAATGACTAAAATACCTAAAATGCCCTTAAGACAAAAAGTAAAAATAAAAAATAAAAATTCTCTATGGAAAACCAAAAAAAGGTATTTTGAAATTTTATTAAAAAATTGATCAAAATTAACTGTCTAACATATATTAAGGGGGCAATTTGCATACATTTTTTAAATGTTAAGAATTATTTTTGTGCACACATTTTATATAACAATGGTTTCTTGCACTTTACACTAGCTTTTATAACACTTCAATTCTATTTTCTATTTTTATTTATTATTTTCATTGATTTAAGCAAACTGAACCGAAGTACAACAATAGAATCAAACATGCATTAATTTTTAAAACTAATGGTCCGAGCAAAAGGACCAAACAAAAATTGTCTCTTTATGTAAAGTAAGTGGGCCCAATTAGAACTTAAAATGGACAAAAACACGACCGAAGAAGTCGTAAAAGTGAAATGTCCTTGCCTTGTATAGGTAAATTATTAGCTTCCAAACAAATGTCATTTGGGCCACGGCCCATTAAAAAGTACCAAACTTTTTTATGGGCCAGTGATCATGTCACACATAGCCTTCGGGTACCTGGCAAATTACTATTTGATGAACATGAATTCCACTGTCCTTTTCTCACGTGTCGGACTTCTATTGATGAAAGTTTTATGGACTACCAAAAATTATAGTTTAGTGATATCTCTTCTTTTACTATATAAATTAAAAGATTGAGGCTTCAAATCTTCAATTGAGTAAATTTGGTGTTTCTCGTTTGCTATAATAAATAATAAATAAATAAGAAGAAGGAGAGAAATGGAATTTAGGAAGAATTGGCGGGATTAAGATTTGGACAAACAATATTATATGATCTATAAAACATAGACAATTGGGTCTGATGGACTCCAGGCCCATTAAGATTGAATACATACACATTTATCTCTCTAAGTCACTTGGGGAATGGTTTAAGTTAATTAGAGAATAAATCAAGGCCATAGTTTTAGTGGTAAAGATTCAAGTTCTGTTGGAAACAAAAACTAGCGTGTCTGAATTTCTTTCTTATGAAAATAAATTAATAACAAAGTACTAATAAGTTTTTTTAAAAAAACAAATGAATATATATATATATATATATAAAAGAATATAACAACATGAACATGTACCATGCAGACTTTTCTAGCTAGTGTGACTAAAGAATGATAAAAGCAAATATTGGGGGACCCAAATTTCTTGGTGCAACGTTTCCCCGGTGTCTATTGAAGGTTGGTCAACCCAATCACGGTTAATTCTATATAGTGCACAGAAGAGAATCCAAATTCGATATTCAAAAAAAAAAAAAATTGGGTATGGGATGGGATTCCCCTAGTTGTCAACAAAATTTCTTCATAAATTTTTAATGTGTGTGTGTGTGAGAGAGAGAGAGAGAGTAGAATAAAAGGATAGATGAATTGGGCTCTTAGTTCATGTTGGCCTCTTCTCCAACAATTGGTACTTGGTTGTAGTAGACAAAAGGGGTGTTTTGGGATGAGAAGAATGTGAGATTCATCAAAAGCAAGACTGTCTCCTTCTCTGCTCCACTCCTATATATACACAATCTCTTCTCTCTCTCTTTCCATAATCCTCTTGAGAAAAGCAAAAGGAAATGGAAGAAAATGAAGGGTTGTCTTCAAAAGATGAGAACAAAATAATGTTTAAGAGAATTTGTGTCTTCTGTGGTAGCAAAGCAGGATACAGATCCACTTTCAGTGATGCTGCTCTTGAGCTTGGCAATCAACTGGTACTGTGTGTATATGTGTGTGTGTGCATATATATATAGAGAGAGAGAGAGAGACACACACACACACACTCTCTCTCTCTATATTTAACTATTCCAAGAGACGTATTCTTCTTCTTCTCTCTCTCTCTCTCTCTCTCTCTCTTCATTTATTGTCCTCTTTTCATTCTTTTATTAACATTCTCTTATAGATAGGATTTTGTTGCATGGGACTTAATTTGTCAGGTTGAGAGAAAAATTGATCTGGTTTATGGTGGAGGCAGTGTTGGTCTAATGGGATTGATCTCTAAAACTGTTTTTGATGGTGGTTGTCATGTTCTTGGGTATGTGTGTGTGTATATATATATATATTTGTTTTAACATTGAATATTTTGTTTCTAAATAAGAAGAATATTTTGAAATATGATTATGTTTGTTTGGACAGAGTAATTCCAAAAGCTCTTTTGACACATGAGGTAATAATACCACTTTCATGATATCATTGGTTTTGGAGATTTTCTTTGATATGATATGATGTGTTTGTCTGATGAAAGAATTGTGTGATCAAAACAACTTGCAGATATTAGGAGAGACCATAGGAGAAGTGAAAACAGTTGCAGACATGCACCAGAGGAAGTCAGAAATGGCTAAACATGCTGATGCTTTCATTGCTCTTCCAGGTACTTTTCCATCCAAACACACCCTTATTCTTCACTTAATCATGCTTATATATATATATATATATATGTATGTGTATGTATATAATCTCAAAACTATCAACTCGTTTAGGTGGTTATGGAACAATGGAAGAATTGTTGGAGATGATAACTTGGTCTCAGTTAGGAATTCATGAAAAACCAGTAAGTCTACTTTTTTTCCTTTCTAATAAAATTTCAAAATTTTTATTTATTTTTATTTTTATTATCACATGGGTTTTGATTTTTATTTAGTTATTTATTTATTTTTTTCTTAAATTTGAATATGTGAACAGGTGGGTTTGCTTAATGTAGATGGGTATTACAACAGCTTGCTTGCATTGTTTGATAAAGGAGTGGATGAAGGGTTCATAGATGATTCAGCAAGACATATTGTGGTTTCAGCTGACACAGCAGAAGAGTTGATCAAGAAAATGGAGGTATATATATATATATATATATATATATATATATTTACATACACATATATGAAAAATATAACTCTAGCTACTACTCTACTATATAAACAAATAATCAATTCAGCTACTAGTCACTTAATTGTTTGCAAATCACGTGTATCATTTAAGTCAGACTTTACATTTGACGAGTCTAGAACTATATATAAGGAATTGATTATACAAAGTCGTTGCCAATTGAAATAGCCCAAGTCACTTTGAATTTTCGAATAGCTATTAAACTCTAAATGCATGCAATTCTCCGTAAATCATTTGGTGAGTCCCCGAAGACCTAGTAGGATAGATCGTTGAATTGAGGTAGCTCGTAGAGGCTAAAATATAAAATTTTAATTACATAATTATTGTAATATTTTAAGTAATATATTTAATGAGTTTGGTTGCTAGATTGTTGGAGAAGACGACAAAATAGAGTTAAGGGAAGGAATAATATGTTAATGGTTTGGTTGTTTACTGCAGGAGTATGCCCCAGTCCACGAGAGGGTTGCATCCAAACAAAGCTGGGAAGTGGACCAATTATGAGAGTCTACCAAAGTGGTAGGCCCTAAGATCTTAGAACTTAGATCTTAATCATATATATATATATATATATATATATATATATATATATATAACAACTATGTCATTGTAGTTACAACTTTTAATCAATAGAAAAAAGACAGCAAAAGTCAGTAGTCCTCTCTCTCCCTCTCTAACAGGTGGGAAAAATCATAAGATCCCATATGTATTAAACAACCATCTGAATAATTATGACATGCATGATGTCTGTTACACTTTGAATCAATTGAATGTACTATATTATTCTCTCTTTCCTTTTTCTTTGTGTGTGTGTTGGCATTGACCATGTTAGAGGACCAAATTAATCATAAGATGGATTTGTTTTTTCTTTTTCTACATATTATTTTAGTATTTTTGCGTTGTGTGAGAGTGAACTCTTTTCTTAAAACTCTTTAATCATTGGATTAACATATTAATACCATAGATTGTTTTAAATATATGCACCATTCTTTTGCATCTAAATTCTACGAACATTAGTCTTTGAAAGGAGGCTTTGCACCATTGTCATACTTGATTCAAAGTCAAAAAGATTTTTTTTTATTTTTTACAATTACAAAAACATATTAAGAATTTTTTTTTTTTTTTTTTGTTTTGTGGGGAAATTTGAATTAGATTCTGATATTTGGCTGGAGCCTTTGGATTTTGGCTTGGTAGTCTACTGAGCCCTCTGAGGACTGCACTCCCACAGTGAAATTGACCCCCCTGTTATTGGTGCATTTACCAACCCTTTTTGTTTGTTATGCTTATGATGGATAAGTGTTTTTAGGGCAGCCATATATTGGTTTCAAAAATGATTTTATAGCCCAAAAGTTGGGACAAAATGGGGAGCCAAACTCTCCCGGAACACTCAATACACTCAAATGGAGCGTTTAGACTTTAGTGAATCAAGTGAACCACTCAATACACTCAACGAAGCATTTAGACTTTAATGCATTAAGTGAACGTAGAGCGTTCAACTCTCCATTTTGTTTCAACTTTTTGGTTAACTCTCCATTTTGTTTCAACTTTTTGGTTAAAATATCGCTGTGAAGTTGAGATGATTTTCAAAAAAATATCTAAGTTGGATATCTTTAAAATAAAACACCTTTGTAATTCTCTCTTTAAAAGATCTCTTGTTTATACCCATATAAAAGGGAAGGCTACAGACGCACCCAACCAAACCAAATATTCCATACTTTTTTCTTTCTTTTATCCAATAATAGAGGTGTCGGACCTTTTAGAATACGTTATAATTTATCATTGGATACACATGTTCCCCATTCCGAAAAAAAAAAAAATCTAAAATGGCCTCAAAGAAATTCGTGAAGCTACATGGACTAATGCCCAATTCTTCTCTTTCAACATCAAGTATAGTGGGATTGCACATGACTAATATATTGTGAAATTTTGTAGGCTTTTGAGATTGAAAGACAGAAACCTACCATCATTATCAAAGCTTCGGACATCAAAATATGGAACCATCAACAAACCAAGAGAGTTGATGAGAGAAAAGTACATGGGCTTGTAACCGGTGAGGACTCAAAACTTTTTTGTGGACTGAAGAGGACTCTAGAGACATTTACACTAAATTCATCCTAGTGTAACATTTAAAGTCTATTTCCATAGAAACTACTCACACTCTTGTCAAAGCTAGCCCTCTCCTAAATATCCTTTCGTAGACCATTTAATGCTTCACCACTAACTTTTTCTTTTTCAACGTTTGTATGGTTTCTATCAAGCATGTGCCCATCACTCTGTACCTTCTATCTTGTGCGGAAAAGGAAATGAAGCATGCCGACTCAATTACTTTTCATTTTTCTATTTTTTTTTTCCTGGTAATTAAGGATCTAATATTCAATTATGTTTACGTAGGAGAATCCGGGTAAATCACACAGTTAACAGTTCGGTTAATGGATTAGGGTCTCAAAAAACCAAACCAATCCGTGTAATCAATCCAATCCGTTAATATATATATATATAATATGTATACACTATTTCTTTAAATATTTTTTTAAAAAAATACCCCTAAACCTACCCCTGTTTAGTCATTTAAATGGGGTAGTAGCTAAGCTGAATGTGTTAATATAATGACTCTAAATAAGACACATTTTTAGCTGAATGGTCACACCTAATGTTGTGTAACTTCTAATAAGACACTCTTTTAAAATAGTATTTTTTAAAAAAAAAAAACTTCAACCAGGAGATTACATATAATCCAAAAAATTTACTGCAAAAAAAATGGTTTAGTTTTTGTGCAAACAAACGCATCAAAATGCTAAAAAAGCTTCTAATTTGCTAAACCCAATGCCAAACAAGCGCAAAGATTGCTTCAGTATCCTAAAAAGCCTGATTTATCTGATAAAAACATTTGCGGACTCTAAAAATGAAACAAATTAAGTTAGCGTGAGATGTCCCAACATTCCAGGACATATTGAAGGAAGCAACTCAGAAACTAAGCTTTGTCCTCATTGTTTACAATGGCATTCCAAGACAAAAATGGATGAGTCATTAACACTGCTGTGTGGTAACATATTGGAGGAGCCCAATCATGTGAACAAACTCCCAACCTCCACAAGTTGATGTACTTTCTCAAGTCTGCCAGAGCAAAGATAAAATGGAACCCAACAAACAGTGAGAGTTAGGTAAATGAACAACTCATCCAACCCTGCCTACCCGTGACAGGACCCAATAACAGATCAGCGACTGGATTTGTCTCTAATACCACCTGTAATGGTGGTAATGGACGGGGCACTTGCCCTCTCACCTAAAAGTTTAACGTATTAGGTAATGCTGCATACCCGCTCATATCAGCCCAAGTCCTTCCCCATCCAGATCCAATGTGGGACAAGCCCATTGCCTGTTACTTCCACGTCAAGCAAGTCTCAGGAACAGATTCACCTAAACCCAGAGAACATTATTGGAAAAAAAACCGTGTATTAAACTAAAATAGAGTAAATTCCAAGTAGACGGTATAAATAAGTAATGTGAAATGCTTAAAGTAACTGTATTCTATATCTTGAAGAGCATTCAGGCCCTCTGCCAAAGATTTGTCTATCTGTTCTGATTGTTGAGGGAGGGCCTCATGCATAATGGTCCCCCTGGGCACCAGGCTTGGACAGATACACAAGTGGACTCTGAAAGAAAAACAGAGGTAAGGTTCAAGTCTGCAAAGGTAAATTCAGGGCCATGACAGAACAATTTCGAGCAACGTGTATTAATTATCTGCATCTTCTGAGAAACTAGATGCATCTGTTTCTCAACACAATTTTGCCACTAGCAATCTTTTTGTTTACAAACAAAACAAAGTCATGACAGAGAAGATAGAAATTTTTACTAATGTGTTGTTTGATAAGTCTAATGTGTATACCAGTCTGTAACTGCGGACAGAACCACACGTGAAAGAAAAATCTTCCATTTTTAGGAAGACCAAGTAATACACACGTGTATACCAGGCTCTGCCAAAGATTTGTCTATCTGTTCTGATTGTAGAGGGAGGGCCTCATGCATAATGGTCCCCCTGGGCACCAGGCATGGACAGATATACAAGTGGACTCTGAAAGAAAAACACAGGTAAGGTTCAAGTCTGCAAAGGTAAATTCAGGGCCATGACAGAACAATTTTGAGCAACGTGTATTAATTATCTGCATCTTCTGAGAAACTAGATGCATCTGTTTCTCAACACAATTTTGCCACTAGCAATCTTTTTGTTTACAAACATAACAAAGTCATGACAGAGAAGATAGAAATTTTTACTAATGTGTTGTTTGATAAGTCTAATGTGTATACCAGTCTGTAACTGCGGACAGAACCACATGTGAAAGAAAAATCTTTCATTTTTTAGGAAGACCAAGTGTCACTTAAAATAGGATCAAATTTTAAGTGATGGACATTTCACTTATCACTAATGCCTCCAGCATCTAAAAATTCAAAAAATAAACAAAAAAACTTAACAATTAGCCATTAGCACTTATGATTGAGCTTTCAAAATTTTCAACACTTCAAACACAAAAGGAAATGTCAGTTATAGTACAAACAAGATACAAAAAATAAAAATAAAAACCCAAACTTCATCCTATTGAGTTGAAAACTCAGAAGCATTTGTGGCAAAAAATAGAAGGTTCGGTTTATTGATTCACTGCCTTGGTAATGTGATAGACTCGGGGGTAAAGCCAATTTGGGCAAGTTTTGGCATCTCTAAGCCATGTTCAATACATAGTTGATTTTGGACTTAACAAAAAATTTACAAGCATTCTTATATAACCTTATTACTTGTGGGGAAGAATTAAAAAAAATTATAGCAAATTGAGAATATCATTTAGAATGAAGAAACAAAATACACATGTATATATAGACATGTATATAGAATATCATTTAGGGAGCACTAAATATATCACATCAAGGACTTCATGATAACCAAAAAAAACTTTAGCAAGTAAAGATACTCACAGTTTAGGCTCTCTTTAGCATTAGAATGAGAGCAAGTCCCAAGAGCTCTATCAATCCACAGTTTCTTTCTATTGGGAAAGACGATGGCAAGAATGATCAATCAACAGGCTAGAGGATCTCCACACTCATGGCAGGCGAACTCGGGCCGTCCAGTCCCTCTCAAGATCCATCTGAGTGGGTTACAAGCTGTCTAATTGCCATCAGGGAGTATATACAAACACACACATATATATAGAATGCATGATTCCAGGAAACATTGAGAAGTATATATTTAGAATGGTCCTCTGCTAGTTTTAGAAATCTGATCTTACAGAATTGGTCGTGTAAGATTGAAGAGAGATTTTTACAAATTATATATGAAAAGTTTCATATGAGACTTGTACACGTTCTGTCACATGCACGAGGATGCTGCAGTTCTTCACCCTCCATGGTTGCAGGCACATCTCTTACTTCATGACTGTCCAAATCCACCAAAGGATGATTAACAATCAGAGGAGCTATTGATTCCCTATCTTCACCAGAAATTATGTTTTTTTGCTCAGCAGAACCATCATCACTTTCCTGGACATGAGGTGTTTGAACATCATATTCTGGCACATCAGACAAAAGGGCTTCGAGAAGGGTTTTGGTAGTAGAAATTCCCCATGAAGCAAATTTCACATCCAAGATAGGAGTCTCAAAATCTAGTGTAGAAGAAGCACATGAAGATTTGAAAGCATTATGTAACAAATCTTTGCATGACCCTTGTTCTGCAATATCTTCAGTGCTTTCAGCTTGAATGGGTGGACACTCAACATTCATACTCGGAGAACCGCAACTACTTCCTTCTTCATCAAACTGGTTTTGTCCATCAAGTCCTTTGGATGTTTCCTCGAAGTCTTCATCACTAAGATTTCTTGTCACATGACATATGCCCTCTACAGAAGAAGCATCACTGGAAGTTGAACCCGATTCAATTGTGGGTTCAGTTCCATTAGATTTGCACAAATAGGTAGAAGGAACCACATGCTTTTCATTTTGAACACTGGGTGAAGCTAGTTCATCTTCATTACCATTTTCCTCGGTGGTAAATTCAGGAGCTTTAACTTTAAGAGTTTGGGTACATTCTGTAGTCTGGATAATACTCGTAGATATTCCATTAGATTTGCACAAATAGGTAGAAGGAACCACATGCTTTTCATTTTGAACACCGGGTGAAGCTAGTTCATCTTCATTACCATTTTCCTCGGTGGTAAATTCAGGAGCTTTAACCGTAAGAGTTTGGGTACATTCTGTAGTCTGGACAATACTCGTAGATATTAATCCGTTAAGTGCAGCAGCTAAAGCATCATCAATTGACAAACCCTTCTTAGGTTTTTCTTGTGGAGAATCCATTTGTGATTCCAAAGCATCATCTTCCTCATCATCACCACAAGAAAACTCAGGGGCAGTGACCACAAGACTTGGCACAAACTGTGCTGCATTAACTGAGGTAGACACGTCTTCAGGTTGGTTTGGAGGGTTAGCAGAAGGGGAATCCTTCTTTTTCAAGTCCAATCCCCCGCAAGCAGGATAATCACTTCCATCATTGTAGAATGAGCTCGAACCGGATTCATTGCAAGAAAATGCAGGAGCAAAGAACCGTGTACCACAGGTCAATACTGAACATTGGGAATTCTTGGTGAATACTTCCATTTGCTGCTCTACATGCTGGAGCCTTGCCTCCATGATGCTTATGGGCTTTAGCATGTTCTCTTCAAACCTTGAGCAGATATCTTCTATTCTGCTTACTCGAGAAACAAGCTGTTCCAAGGTTCTTTCAATTTGACTAAATGGCAGATCATTTTTTGCAATAGAACCATGTTTTTCTTCTCTATCTAAAACTTGTTCAGGAATCTTCATTTGATTAGCTGTAGCCCCATTCACATCTTGCAATTTCGGATCCTGTTTTTGATCAGCTATGCAGGATTGTTCTTCCTGCTGAGTTGCATTTGCAATATTGGTTGAACCAATTGTTCTAGATCCAATTTCCAGGGAATCTGGTTTCTCCATTATAACAGATTCATGCTTATCTTGTATTCGGCTTATACCAGTTTTTGACAGTTGCAAAAGTGTAGGGACAAGCATGGCCACAAGTGAACTTCCAGCTGGGTTTCCCACCGGAATTGCCTGTTCTGTATCAGCTGACCCAACAGGGTCCGCAAATATGTAAATTTCATCAACATATACGCACTCTTTACTCTGAAGGGATAGCAAACGAAGCATAAGGGAAATGCAAGGGTCTGCATCAGTAATTTCAGCTGTAGCCTCGTATAAGTCCTGGAAATATTTTTCAATCAGCCAGACATCATAATAAAGTTTCTTTTATTTTTTTTCTCTTTTTTCCAGTGGTAACCCTTATGGCCTTATGTAAGCATGAAATCAATGTCTTGACATTGGAATTGGAGAAACATTAGTTCAAATTTTTCCTTAATTCCAATTCAAGGCACCAATTCCTTAATTTTTCCAAACTGATATGAAGAAATTGTCAGAACCTTGAACTGTAAAGGTAATTTTTCAAATTAGTTATCGGTCATGCAATTCAATATTTCAAACCACAAGGTAACCCAAAGAGACCAATAAAATCATACCAAGTCAACATAAAAAAGTACTGCAACCCATCATATGATGGGCTTCACTAGTACAATAAGCAACCATAATTAATACTTACACCATTTGCTTTAGACTTCAGCATGGAATTCTTAACTTCTCTTGCCAGTAGAATAACTTTAGACAGCGTTTAAAGGGGGGGAAAGGGGGGAAGGGTGTGAATATAACGTAACTAATAAACATCCAATAGAGCTTATTTTTCTGCCAATGATTTATGAAACATATAACATCAAATGGTAGACGCTAAGTTATCTTTTAATGCTAGCAGGGCATGGTAAGACTTAGTTGGTCTCTTCAATGTACCAAAGGGAATTCAAAGGAGAGGAACAAAACTACATCAGCAAATACATTTAAAATGGAGAAAAAAAAAAAAAATAGTGAATGAGTGAGAAAAAAATGCAGAGAAGATAACAATAAAATAAGAGGATAACTTGCTTGAATGAATGTCGACTGAGAGTAAACCATAATACCTGAACGCTTGTGCCCCTGTTGGCGTCAATCTTTTCTGGCAGAGAACTGGTTCTGTTATCTTGTAGAGGAGAATTAGGAACTTTCACCTCTACCCAGTCATCTTCACTGCTGCCGACACTGCCCTCATGCTTAAATTTCTCCTTAGCCAATTCTCCAGCAGACCCATTCCAATTTGCAACAGATTCTTCAATATCAGCTGCATGGAGTGACTCTCCGTCTCTAGAAGCAATGCCACAGCGAACAGTACAGAGATACTCATTGCTACTCTGCAGACCAGGTACATAATATATCTCATAGACTCGAGCTGTACTTCGAATGTATACCTGCCTGACCTCATGACTTTGCGTGAAACTAACTGCAGTCCCATAAATTCTTGGTTATTCAAAAGGTGAATAAAAGCTGTCCCCTTACAACTAAATGAGGAAGAAATTATATGAAGCACAGTGAAAGTAATGCAGTTGTATGACAGCTAAGTATTGAGAACTTGAACAATGTAGCTAAGTGGGAATATGGTAACACATGTTGGATTTGTTATAGATTAGTTTTGAACTTAAACGTACTTAAAATTTCCCACTCATATGCTTCAACGACGCGATTGCCCCATTTAAGAATTGTTAATCCATTTTGCTAACTGATAATTTAAGAATTGTTAATCTATTTGTTACAAAAGAATATAAACAACAAATGCACATAGTAGTACAGCGTTGGAGATGATATGCCCTTGAACAATTTACCATAAACGGAATGAATTTCTGTATGGTTACTTGACATGATAAGACATTTCAATTCATTAAGATGAACATAAAACCCCTATGAGAATCAGACCCATGGAATCAAAGCCAAACTGAAAATAGGACTGGCACGTAAATTACAATGAAATTTGGAACGATGAAATGCTCCTAAATTAAGAAATTTTCAAGTTTGACCAACACCCTTACACAGTCAAGAGACCTTGTGTGGACTTGTATCTGTAACTATTTGAAAACGAGATGTCTATGTAAAATGCATGTTCCAACAAATGCAATACTACAGCTAATGCCACTATTCCTTGGGTTCCACCACAGCTGAACATTCAGGATAAAGTAAAGGAACAAAATCAAACCCTAAGTTTCAAAAACGAAGTATAGTTTTGTTACCACAAGCTTCAGCTCAAATCATTTTCACAGATTCGCTTGCTCAACCTCTCTGCCCAAAGGTCCTAAATTTATAATTATGGAAACAAAAACAGCGAGTATTGAAATAATTAACTAATACAGAAAGACTCTCTCACTCTCTCTGTCACTCTCTCACACACAACATTCCAATATATCGATATAATTATAAAAAATCAACTGAATTTCAAAGTAAACCTTCAATACTGGAATATAGCTATTACACAAAGACTCTCTCTGTCACACACACACAAAACATTCCAATAAATCATTAAAATGATACTAACTCAACTGAAATTCAACACACACAGAAGGAATTAAACCTACTCTTGAATCTTGATTGGCCACAATCAAGTGAATATATATATATATATATATATATATGTATGTATCATTTCAATCAATCGTTGAAAATATATAAAAACAACTGAAACTCAACACATATAAAGCTTCAATACTGAATTGAAACGGCGAGGAATGGAATTAAACTCACTCTTGATCTCGCAAGAGCCACAATCGGGCGACGAAGGCTTCAAGATAAGGGGAGATTTGAGCGTGGAATTGACGGTGGTTTCGGAGTCGATCGGAGAATCTGAAGAGTCGAAGGTGATAGAAGAATCCAGAGAGCCATGAGCGATTGTCCAATTCGCTTCGGCGCTCCATGAATTGACGTCAGGTATTTCCATTGTTTCTACTCTATCTCTCTCTGTCTTTTGAATTTCGATTGGTTCAAGTCGGAGTGTTGTGACTTCTGAATTTTCTTCTTGTGATATAGGGCTTGAGTTAGAGAACAGTAAAATAAGGCTCCGTGTCGCGTACCGCGTACGGTAAAAGCCCTTACTAATATATGAGTGCGTAGATATATATATATATACACACTAGTAAAACGCAGCTCACGTGAGAAAAATTATTTTATAATTTTAATTAAAATATTAATATAAAAATTATCAAAATAAATACAAATATGACATAATTAAACAAACACAGAAAGATAAAAAAAAAATAAATAAATCAGCATGATGAATGTAATTCAAAGAATAAAATATATTTAAACAAACACAAGCAATAAAAATAAAAATAAATCAACTTGATTATTACAGTTCAAATAATAACGTACCTCTAATAAAACAAATAATTTTGACCATGTTACGAAACAGATCAATCAAAATAAATTAAGATATTTTTTAAAAAATAAATGGTGACATGACATAATTAAACAAACACAAAAATAAAATAAATTAACATGATTAATGCTATTCAAAGAATAAAACATAATTTAAAAAAAAAAAAAATCAACATGATTAATGCAATTCAAAGAATAATGTACTTGTAATAAAACAAAGAATTTATTTTAATGGATAACTTATTTTATTATTTGGTAATTATTTTATTATTTTATCTATAAATGATTTGAAACATCTTGATTGGTAATTTATTAATCGTGATTTATTTTAATTGTTAAATTATTTTATTATTTGGTAAATTAATTTATTATTTTATATATAAATGATTTGAAACATTTTGATTGAATTCCAATTAAACAATTACCTATTTAATTTTAATTGGTAATTTATTTAATGATTTGAAACATCTTGATTGAATTTCTATTAAACAATTTCTTATTTAATTTTAATTGGTAAATTAGTTTATTATTTGGTTAGATAATTGCCTATTTTATTTTAGTACGTAACTTGTTTATTTTATTTGGTAAGTTATAGGATTTATTGTAATTGGTAACTTATTTTATTATTTTATCTATAAATGATTTGAAATATATTGATTGAATTTCAATTAAACAATTACCTATTTAATTTTAATTGATAATTTATTTAATGATTTGAAATTAATATCTTGATTGAATTTCAATTAAACAATTTTTGATTTAATTTTAATTGATAATTTAATGTATTATTTGTAAATTATTTTATTAAATAATTACCTATTTATTTTAATTGGTAACTTATATAATTTATTTTAATTGATAAATTATTTTATTATTTTATCTATAAATGATTTGAAACATCTTGATTGAATTTCAATTAAATAATTACCTATTTAATTTTAATTGGTAATTTATTTAATGATTTGAAACATTTAGATTGAATTTCAATTAAACAATTTCCTATTTAATTTTAATTAGTAAGTTATTTTATTATTTGATAAAAATAAATAAATAAATAATACACAAAGCTTGATTAGTCTTACCATACCCATGAAATGTCCTTACCATTTTCCACTTATATCGACTAAAAAAAGGGTCGGATTTGGGAGAGATTGAGGGGAAGGGCACTTGAAAGATAGTGGCGTAAATGCAACTTGAAGAGATCAGTTCAAAGCTATCCTAATATCATTAATCTGAATAGGCTTATATTGTGAGATTCAAACATAATTGAATTCATATTATTATTATTAATTTAGATGAGAGCAGAGTTTGAAAAAAATAAAGTTATTGTGCATTGTTATATTTTTAGTCCTTTCGATCTTAAACCAAAATATAAATAGTGTAAGAATTAAATATTAATCTTCAATTATCCCTAATAAGCACACTTCAGCAAGATTTGAACTTTGATTTGGAGTAGTTCAATATCATGCAGGCCGAGACCCGCATAATACAAGGCAAACGGCCCTTGTATCAGATATTAAACTGATAAGAACAGATATTACACTTGATCTTAGCCAAAAGGTCGAAAAAAGTATGATTAATATTTCTTTAGGTCTATATTTTTATAAGAGCTTCCATGTAATCTTTTATAACTCAAAACCAAGGGACAAGAAAAATATTTGGTAAATTATTTTATTAAATAATTATTTATTTTATTTTAATATGTAACTTTTAACTTAATTAAAAAATTACCTATTTAATTTTAATTGGTAATTTATTTTATTATTTGGTAAATTATTTTATTAAAATTCATTTTATTTATAGAAACTCTTTTATTTTAATTCATTTTATATTAATTAATAAGTATTTTGTATTATTTGGTAAATTATTTTATTAAATAATTACGTATTTTATTTTAATAGGTAACTTTTAACTTAATTAAACAATTACCTATTTAATTTTAATTGGTAATTTATTTTATTAAAAATTTAGTTCAATATCATGAATTTTAATTGGTAATTTATTTTATTATTTGATAAATTATTTTATTAAAATTCATTTTATTTGTAGAAACTCTTTTATTTTAATTCATTTTATATCAATTAATAAATATTTTTTTATATTAATAAATAAATACTGAAATACTGAAACTCTTTACACATTTAATAATAGTATAGATATAAATATAAGAGTATAATATATATATATATATATATATATATATATTTATTTATTTATTTATTTATTTATTTAGCACCGTATAAAATTAATATAATGCAAAGTACTCATAGCTGACTATTAGTTTGGCCAAAGGAAAGAGAATTTATATGTTTGATTAAAGCCTTTGATTTGTTGTATATTATTTTTGATGAAATTTTCATGGTATAAACTCGTCGTTTTTTTTTCTTTCAAACACTTTCCATTTTCTTAAAATTATAGTATATAATTTAGGAAGTAGGCATTTAGTTAGTTAACAAGATTGAAAACCAAAATGTCAGAATACAACTGAACACGCGTGAAATATGACTAGAAGTGTTTATATTTTAAAATGATTATATTTTAAGACGGACAAGGCTGGAATAAATTAAGAGCACGATTGGACATGACAACATCAATTTGTGAATAATTTTTTCTAAAATCATGGGGCTCAACTTGAATTTTAAAAACTAATAAGGTAAATATGAAAAAACTCATTATGGAACAAAATATGTGGAACGAGTCTCTTATTAAACAAAGTTGTTCACAAACTCACATCAATCAGAACCAACAACACTTTGTGATGTTATTTGACGAAAAATAATTTCTATACGCCATTATGGATCTACAGCCATGGGATCGATAAATTATTTGAATCTTATTAACCAAAGTAATATAGTTAGCTCAGGACCAATCAAAAATTTTAAGGAAATTCAAGAATTTTTATTATACATTCATTTCAACTCTCGACCATCTTTTCTAAATTCATTGATATTAAATCAATCCAAAGAACTATCTCTTTTGAAAGATCTTGCGTATATCACCATATCTCGATTTTTAATATATAAATTGATTCACGGGATACAAAATCAGAATGACTGAACGATTAAGTGAAAATAGCAGTCATTCTATTCCTAACACAAAAGGGAGAAATATAAAGAATTTCGTTAATATTGATCATTGAGCTAATTAAAGGGTCTAATGTTGTCACCCTAGTAGCATAGAGGATACTTTGAGGAGAGGGTCCCAATTAGAGACATTATGATCACCAGAAGTCGGAATATTATTGTTGCAGTGAACAATTTGTTGGTCGGAGGGGGGCCAAAACCCTTCCATAGTAATCGGTAATGGTCTAAGTCCGTTGGTAGAGTAAGTCGAATTCCCGGTAGCTTGAGTAGTACTGCTGCTCATGAACATGCCATGCTCTTGGACATAGTTCATCTGGGACACCCAAGGGCTATACTGGTTTTGCCACTGCATACCTTCTTGATCACCACCGATTGGCATTAATTCAACAATGTCATGATCATGATGTAGGAGGCCGACGTCCATCTCATAATTGGGATCCGGGATTAATTCAGGCAGCAGCATCCCATGGGGAGCCACAGCAGTTATTGTAGCTTTCGATATCGGGAGCTCTCTTTTTCTTTTGTTGTTGTTGCTGCTGCTGCTGCTGCTGTTAGGTGAGGCCGAGGGGGGCACAACATTAACGCTTGGCTGCACGGTTGAAAAGCCTGGCTGTGGGAGCATTTGCAAGCTCTTGCTGTTGGATAGCTTTGCCCTGAGTGCCCCGAGCAGACCATCGGCCTCTTCCGTCCTACAGACTTCCTCGAACGAGAAGGGGGTGGAATATTCCGGCACAAAGCTGCTGCTGTTGGCCGTCCCACCAACGCCACCGCGGAGGGAGGACGAGGACTGAGGCAACTCAAAGTTGGTGCGGGCATTGGCACCACGCAACGCTCGAGCAGCATCATCGTATGCACGGGCTGCATCCTCAGCCGTGTCAAATGTCCCCAACCAAAGCCTCACTTTCTGCAGGGAGTCCTTGATCTCGGCCACCCATCTTCCTGATGGCCTCTGCCGAACTCCCACGAATCTGTGGTGTCCCCTAGACGATGCCTTCCGTCTACCTCGTCCTGTCCCTGATTCCATTGATGGTTGCCCCATTAATTTCGTGACTAACAAACAACCAGCTAGCTAACTTTGGAATGTCGGGAATCTCGTACACTTTGTTTGCCCTTACACTCTATGCCTGGTTAACTCGATTCGAACTAGCCTAGCTAATGTTGTCTCGGGGGCTGGATTTCTTATAGTAATCATCCTAATGGAAGGAATCTGCAGAACTCGCATAAGATGACAACTGAGAAAATGTCAAACGGCCGGTTGATTCCATATATATATATTTATATTTATATATGATATCGTTGTTGCAGGCGAGTTGATTTTATCGACACAAAGACAAAAAATTATATATAATACTCCCAACTCTTGGCATATATGATCATATACACATCAAAAGAAAACAAAAATCATCAAATTAATTATAATCCTAAGAGTTGCTAGTGTTACTCCTAGTAATTAGCTAGCAATGCAAGTGACAGAATCTGGTACGTTAAAGAAGTATATGATTCTCTTACCTTGCAAACTTCACCAGTCCCTTATTTATAAATATATATGATATATATAATATAAACTAACCCAAGATCAATACTCCAAGATCAATACTCCAATCACTGTTTTTTTGAATTATATATATATATATATATATATATAAATGTCGTGCCCTGCCACCATTGAAATGTTTTCAAGATAATATTTCTAATTCAATCAATTCTCGATATAAACAAAAATCAATTTTAAAAGATTTTTTCTCTTGGATCTACTGTAATAATCAACGCATGGATGAACACATAATAAATAAAGAAAACAGAGAGAACAAATATTTTCCAATGCAACATTACACGTAGATTACAGCGTTACTTTCTAATTTATTTCCAATCAATCATAGAGCACAATAACCATCATCTACAACCTCACTTGTGACAGACCCTAGCAGTAGGCATGGTGACACACACCGGAGCAGAGAATTTCTTAGCTTCCGGGGTCCCCTGTTTGACCTCCGCCACCGCAGTGGCGGCAAAAGAGCAAACGGCAGCAGTCACACCGGCAAACATCAACTCCCTCCTCCCATTGTTGCTCTCTCTCTTGCTGTCATAGCTCACCTTCACCCGATCTCCTTCACTGACTTTGGCACTGTTTGTAATGACAACTCCCCGGCGGGTGGTTGCCGGAGATAGGTTGGAAAGGGCTGCTCCGCCCAGGAGAGAGGCTGTCATGGTGATTGAGGCCATCTCTGCAATGTCACTAAACTTATCCCAACTATTTTTTTTTTCCCCTGCTTTACAGTTTCATCCCTCTGTACTGGTAGTTGTTAGTTGAGATTAGCATAGGGCGCCAAGTGGAGGACAGTCCATTATCTTATCACAGACATGTTCTGACCAATGGTTCATTGCCATGTGTTATTTTGAACACTTTTCATGATTCTCAGGTCAGAAAATGAGGACAAACTATCCAAAGAAATTGAGGCTTTTTAATTTTTTTATTATTATTGGCACTATAAATTCAAACATTTGAAGAGTCAATAAGAATTGAACCCACAATTCCTAGAGAACACAATCCATCAACACAAGACTGCTTTGAAGCATGTAAATCAAGTACAAAACAATGAATAGTGACAATATTTCATCAATGGACAAAAAATCAAACTCCATTGCTCGTGGTACACAAAATTTAGCGCACCATCATTACAAGAATGTAACATCTTTGGAAAAACTAAAATCCTATCTTAACCCTAGCCCGAAGACATCGGCTTCATAAATGTCACGAGCTTGGGAACTATCCTTTCAATCTTAGCAAGAAATAAGGGTCTCGTCAGAATTAAGATTCACAACTTATCCACTAAAGTACTCAAAGCTAGAATTTTACATGGGATTGACATGCAATTATCCCAAAGAATAAGAACAATTACTCGTCCTTGAGATGAGGTATAGGTACTGGCACTTGTATATTGCAAATACAAATACAAAACTAAGCATACAATACGTCTTGTTCTCTTTCTGTATATGGAGGAGGTAGAATACCATTCAAATTAGCAAAAGTATCTATAAAATCTGATGGCGGCTTACCAACAGGTGAATCCAAAACAGAGTCAGGAATGGCACCGAGAGTTTCCTCAAAGAAAGATTTGATTGTCTGCAAGATTCAAGAACCATATTAACATAACAAACATACACAACCATCTTTTTCTCATAAAAAATATTGTTAGATAGCCCTCTCTTTTTCCTTTTTCCCTTTTCCTTTTTCCAGGGAAGTTATGTTAGACAATTGTGAATGTGATACAAATTTCTATGTGTCTAAGAGTAGATTTGACGCTCGCCAACATACACCACCACATTTGCTTATGAAATATGTAGCATGTCCACATTAGATAATATATTAATCTCAAAAGAACATGCTATGTTGCTCATACTATGATAAGCACTCTTTTAACTGCGGAAAACAATGTCTTCGTGTGGTGGTTCTAATGTATTTAACTTTGAAGTTATTAGATGGCCATTTTTTATGGATGTTGTAATTTGATAAAGGATGGAGGCGGTGGGAGCAAGGATTTGGAATCTCTCCCCAAAAAGTCTCACAAATTTTGAGACACACATCCTGGCCATAAAAGTAACAGTTACTGCTCTAAGTCAACAACGGACTTGAGACTTTTCTTATTTGGCTACTCAAACATTGGGAGGGAAGAAATGGCCTTTCAGAACTCTAAGTGGAAAATAAAGATTCTAGGCGATATTTCTATTTTTATTTTATTTTCTTATTCTCCTAAATTCCCAGAACACTATTGCTCTTAAAAATGTAAAAGCTCTTTTCTTACCCCATTTGACCCTCTAAAAATCCTATTACATGAGCCTGAACCCTCAATAGCTTCAAAACTTTCTTTTCTTGCTTCATTGCTCAGATCCTTACCCCCTACACACCCCCTAAAGTTTCATAATTTGCTAACCTTTTAGTAATAAGGAACTGTTAGTGATCAGTTCTAGAAAACCCTTTTTTAAAAGTGTCCAACATGATTTTAGAAGGAAAAGCTCGTGGGAGGCGGTTCCTCTCACTCATCCTACATCAACGTTCACCTCTAACTTCTTCATTTTTTTTTTCCTTGAGGTCACTTCTTTTGTGATGTAGGACAAGAGAGCAGCCTTAAATAGCTAAGAACTCAAAGAATTCAGAGTCCGAAAGTTCAAGAACTAGGGCAGAAATTTGGAGTTTGATAGTGGAAATGTAGAAAACCAAAGGAGAAGTGGTTGTTAATTAAAATAAACCGAGCTATGGTTCAAAATATTAGTAGAGAGAAAGGATTGAAAACAACCAAAACCTACTGGAATCACACCAACAGGTCCAAATATCACACCTAGAGAAGGCCTCACACCCTCACAAATTGTGAATCACTCACAAAGAAATCTCAAAGATATTTTTATTCATTCCTTGACTGCCTCAGCAAGTTTACATCATACCCTTCTTATAGCAACTTATGACCCTCAGATTACCCCATGATTGAGATAATCAAAAGTTGACTCTATAGCATAATAAAAGTAATCACCCCGTAATTGAGGTAATCAATATTTGACTCTAGCATAATAAAAGTAATTACTATGGACAGATGTAATTTGATCGAAATTGATGCAAGCTACCATAATTATGCAATTTGACCAAATCCCCCTAATTATGCAAGACTCCAAGTGGACCCATCGTCTAGTATGTGCCAAATTAAGGTTTGAGCCTTAGAACCCTCCTTGCCACGCCTTTTATATACCTTAAAAAGGCTGCTGCCACTGTTCTCTATCAATTCTCCCCGGCTTGGAAAAACTCGACCCCGGCGAGGTAAATGAATGAAATTGTTCATAGAGGTCTGGAGCTAGATGTTGGAACTCACTGTCGCTAATCCATGTACAATCAGAAAGTGGCCGTCCTTTCCACTTAACGAGGAATTTTTGATAACCGCCAGCCCTTGTTGAAACAAGTTGATGATCAACAATATCTACTATTTCCTCCTTTACATGTGGGGCTGGGGGAAGGCGAGTGGTAGGATCAACAAGAAATGGATCAGCAAAATGGCCTGAATGCAGGGTGAGATCTTCAATGTTGAAGACTTTACTGATACCCATCTCTTCTGGTAGGTCAAGAACATAAGCATTGGAGCTAATTTTCTTGAGAACTTTGTATGGGCCAGCACTCTTTGCATGAAGCTTCTTATAAGCACCTTTAGGATATCGTTCCGGTCTTATTCGCACCATAACCATATCTCCTTCCTCAAATTCAGCAATCTTCCTCCGCAAATCAGCTTGTGTTTTGTAAGTCTCATTGCTCAATGCAATCTTCCTTCAAACTTCTGCATGGATGTCTCTGATATGCTTACTAAAAGCATCAGCTTCAGCACTAGGGCGTGCCACAATTGGTAAAGGAACTAAGTCAATTGGTTTCCGAGGACATAAACCTATCACAATCTCAAACGGGCTGCGCCCTGTGGATCTGTTTACAGAACTGTTGTAGGCAAATTCAGCCATAGGAAGAATCTGGTCCCAGCTACTAAAATGGTCACCAAAAAGACAGCGAAGCAAATCACCCAAGCTGCGATTAATAACCTCAGTTTGGCCGTCAGTTTGGGGGTGAAAAGAAGAAGAAAACTTCAGCCTTGTATTCAGCATCTTCCATAATGTGCGCCAAAAATAACTCATAAATTTTGTGTCTCGATCAAAAACGATGGTGTTTGGCAATCCATGAAGCCGAACAACTTCTTGAAAGAAAAGCTTGGCAATGTGGACAGCATCGGATGTCTTGGAACGAGGAATGAAGTGTGCCATTTTTTAAAAACGATCCACAACAACAAATATAGCATCATGACTGCGACTTGTTTTAGGCAACCTAAGAACAAAGTCCATGCTTAAATCTTGCCACGGCTCATGAGGGACTGGGAGTGGCGTATATAAACCTATATTTTTCTTTATTCCCTTGGATGTTTGACAAGTTCTGCAATGAGAAACAATTTTGGCCACATCCCATTTCAAAATTGGCCAAAAAAAACGATCTTCCACCATGGCAATGGTCTTATCTCTTCCAAAATGACCTGATGCCCCACCAGCATGCAACTCCCATATCACATGTTCACGAAGAGACGTCTTAGGCAAACAAAGTTGAGTTCCTTTGAAGAGATAATCATCATGTACCGAATAATCAGGATATGTACCCTGCTGTCCAGCTATCAAATCAGCATGTATGATGCTAAAGTCCGTGCAAGATAAGTAATCTCGTTTAAGCATATCGAAACCAAGAACTTGAACAGCCATGGAGGCAAGAATATGAACAACTCGGCTAAGTGCATCGGCTGCCTTATTCTCAACACCAGCTTTATGTTTGATGACAAATGAGTACTCTTGCAAGAATGAAACCCACTTCCCATGTCGGTGGCTTAACTTCCTTTGGGAGTTAATATATTTGAGGGCCTCGTGATCAGAATACAAAACGAACTCCCTAAAAAGAAGGTAATGACGCCAGTAGCGAAGTGCTTGAATCACAGCGTAAAATTCTCTGTCATAAGTGGAATACCTTTGCTTTGCTTCATTAAGTTTCTCACTAAAATATGCAACCGGATGTCCTTCTTGACTGAGCACGCCTCCAATTCCAACCTGTGAAGCATCACATGCAACTTCAAACACTTTTGAGAAGTCTGGAAGGCGTAAAATAGGAGCTGCAGTCATTCTTTTCTTCACTTCTTCGAAAGCCTCTGCTGCTGCCTTTGTCCAAACAAATTGGCTGTTCTTCATACAATTGGTGATAGGGGCCATTATTGTGCTGAAATTTCTAATAAATCGCCTATAGAATGAAGCTAGCCCATGAAAACTCCGCGCTTCCTGCAATGTGCTAGGAATTGGCCAATCTAGAATTGCTTTCACTTTCTCAGGATCAGCTTCTACCCCTTTGGAAGAAACAACAAAGCCCAAAAACACCACACTCGGCAACATGAAGGAACACTTCTTCAAGTTCATGTAAAGCTTCTCTTGGCGGAGAACTCTCATAACTTGTTGAAGGTGGGAAATATGTTCCTCCCTCGTTTTGCTGTAGATTAAAATATCGTCTAAATAAACAACCAGAAAACGACCAATAAAGGTCCGCAATACCTGAGTCATGAAGCGCATGAATGTACTAGGGGCATTGGAAAGACCAAATGGCATAACAAGCCACTCGTAGAGGCCATCTTTTGTCTTAAAAGCTGTCTTCCATTCATCCCCGGGCCTTATGCGAATTTGATGGTAGCCACTTTTCAGATCTATCTTTGAAAATATGCAAGAACCAGCCACCATGTCTAGCAAATCATCGATTCGAGGAATAGGAAACCGATACTTGATTGTAATCTTGTTGATGGCGCGACTGTCAATACACATGCGCCAACTACCATCCTTCTTTGGTGTGAGCAAAGCTGGGACAGCACAAGGACTTAAGCTTTCCCGGATAAATCCTTTGGACAGCAGCTCATTAACTTGCCTCAGAAGCTCGGCATGCTCGCTTGGATTCAAACGATAAGCGGTTAGGCAATGGAGATCCCGGTACCAAGTCGATCGTATGCTGGATATTACATAGAGGAGGGAGTTCATTAGGGCGATCTTCAGGAGATAAATCTGAGAAATCTGACAGCAAATTGGCGACCTCTGATGGCATTGAAGAATCATGAACAGCAGCAGTTTATTTGATTTCCCTTGCTACAACAGCATATACAACACCCATCTCTTTACTTTCCAATTGAAACCTCTTCTTGGAAAGGAGATTGAGGGGCTTTTTCTTGTTTTTCGCATCATCTACAGCCTGTCCACCTTTATATTTCTCCATTTCAGCTGAGGACATAGGCTTCAAAATAATTTGCTTGTTGTTAAACAAGAAAGTGTATGTATTCTCCTTCCCACAATGATACACATCTCGATCATAAATCCAAGGCCGCCCAAGAAGAATATGTTTCACTTTCATGGGCATTACATCACACCAAACAGAATCATTATAAGCTCCACAAGAGAAAGAAACGAGACTACGTTGAGTTACCGGAATAGAAGTACTATCTATCCACGCCACTTTGAATGGTTGTGGATGTGGTTGGACTGAAAGCTTGAGGCGCTCAACCGTGGCTGCAGACACAACATTCATGCAACTTCCGCCATCAATAATGACCTTTCGAGCTTGATTTCTACAACGAACTAGCATTTGAAAAATAGATGAATAAAAATATCTTTGAGATTTCTTTGTGAGTGATTCACAATTTGTGAGGGTGTGAGGCCTTCTCTAGGTGTGATACCTGGACCTGTTGGTATGATTCCAGTAGGTTTTTGTTGTTTTCAATCCTTTCTCTCTACTAATATTTTGAACCATAGCTCTGTTTATTTTAATTAACAACCACTTCTCCTTTGGTTTTCTACATTTCCACTATCAAACTCCAAATTTCTGCCCTAGTTCTTGAACTTTCAGACTCTGAATTCTTTGAGTTCTTAGCTATTTAAGGCTGCTCTCTTGTCCTACATCAGTTTTTGGTAGAGAACAGTGGCAGCAGCCTTTTTAAGGTATATAAAAGGCGTGGCAAGGAGGGTTCTAAGGCTCAAACCTTAATTTGGCACATGCTAGATGATGGGTCCACTTGGAGTCTTGCATAATTAGGGGGATTTGGTCAAATTGCATAATTATGGTAGCTTCCACTTGGAGTCTTGCATAATTAGGGGGATTTGGTCAAATTGCATAATTATGGTAGCTTGCATCAATTTCGATCAAATTACATCTGTCCATAGTAATTACTTTTATTATGCTAGAGTCAAATATTGATTACCTCAATTACGGGGTGATTACTTTTATTATGCTATAAAGTCAACTTTTGATTACCTCAATCATGGGGTAATCTGAGGGTCATAAGTTGCTATAAGAAGGATATGATGTAAACTTGCTGAGGCAATCAAGGAATGAATAAAAATATCTTTGAGATTTCTTTGTGAGTGATTCACAATTTGTGAGGGTGTGAGGCCTTCTCTAGGTGTGATACCTGGACCTGTTGGTGTGATTCCAGTAGGTTTTTCGGAAACTCGAACATTTGGTGTGGTGGTGGATCAGCCCTCACATTCTGCCTTTGCTGCATATTTAAAGGATGTTGTTGCTCTCGACCACTGCCATCATTTGTACTGGATGCAGCAGGAGCAAAATTGTTAATAGGCTGACACATTCGAGCTTCTAACTCATTGAATCGGACATTCAACCCATTGAGCTGCTCCACAAGCTTAGATATCAGCTCATCTTGCTGATTAATACCCGATCATTCATTTCCTGATTGTGTCAACATGATGTCAACTCAAGCTCTGATACCAAAAACTAGTGTAGGACGAGAGAGCAGCCTTAAATAGCTAAGAACTCAAAGAATTCAGAGTCTGAAAGTTCAAGAACTAGGGCAGAAATTTGGAGTTTGGTAGTGGAAATGTAGAAAACTAAAGGAGAAGTGGTGGTTAATTAAAATACACAGAGCTATGGTTTCAAAATATTAGTAGAGAGAAAGGATTGAAAACAACAAAAACCTACTGGAATCACACCAACAGGTCCAGGTATCACACCTAGAGAAGGCCTCACACCCTCACAAATTGTGAGTCACTCACAAAGAAATCTCAAAGATATTTTTTATTCATTCCTTGACTGCCTCAACAAGTTTACATCATACCCTTCTTATAGCAACTTATGACCCTCAGATTACCCCATGATTGAGGTAATCAAAAGTTGACTCTATAGCATAATAAAAGTAATCACCCCGTAATTGAGGTAATCAATATTTGACTCTAGCATAATAAAAGTAATTACTATGGACAGATGTAATTTGATCGAAATTGATGCAAGCTACCATAATTATGCAATTTGACCAAACCCCCTAATTCTGCAAGACTCCAAGTGGACCCATCGTCTAGCATGTGCCAAATTAAGGTTTGAGCCTTAGAACCCTCCTTGCCACGCCTTTTATATACCTTAAAAAGGCTGCTGCCACTGTTCTCTATCATTTTGTTTGCTGGAAGTATGCTGCTAAAATTGATTTGGGTAAGGCATTGGACTTGTATTTACCTCTTCCCCCTTCCACTGCCAGGATTGGACTTGGGTGCCTGAACTGGAAAAAGACCATCATATGCTCCATGCTACTACATATTGTGGTTGCTTCTATTAATTAGGGTAAATCCCTAGTGTAGACCACTACAGCCACCAAATCCTTGGTCGATTATTCTCAAATGAACAAAAGGAGGAGCATACTCAACAAGGTCCTTCGATTCTGGACCAACACAAACAAAATCTCATTTTTTAGACTCGGCTCTATAGAACAGAAAGATCACATGGACATTTAAGGCCTGTTGAGTTGCTCCTGATATAACTAAGATTATGACTCGAAAGTGTTGGAAACTTTTACTACAAAATCCTGATCAACTTTAATTAAGACTCAAGTAGAAACTCAATAACATTACTTGATGCAAATTAGACCCATAGACGTCTAGAAAATAAACATTACTACTTATTAAAAAAATAATAATAATAAACATTACCAACATACCCTTGACTACTAAAATTTAAGAAAACACAAAAAGAACTCTAACAGCAGCGTTATAACCTAAAACCCACATATTCAACAGTAAAACAGATTAACAAGTTCTAAATACTGCTCCATTTTAAATTTCCGAATTGTCTTTTTTCCTAATTAGTAAGTTCTGCATCAGCGTGGTTGGGAAGGGGCAAGTGGAAGCCAGATTTTGGAGCAGATTATTTCCAACAATCATGTGTCGGGGCTGAAAAACGATGGATGGGAGAAGGGTGATCGTTGTAAAAGATTATAAGAGTGTCAACAATGGCATGCCCATAAATTATGTAACTTTTAATAATTGACTTACCGTGCAATGCTGGAAAGCAGCATCAGCTTTGCGCTTCCAAAGACCATTTCCAGGCTCTGAATAGAAAAGACCTAATAAAGGCTGCAGTAATTACAAGATAAAGTAGTAACATTAGTACATAATAGAGTGGAAGAAAAGTACATGACTGGCTCATTTAGTACAGAATTGAAAGATGCATTAACTGTATCCAAAAGCACATCAGAGAGAAAGAGAGAGAGATAGAGTTAACATAGGCATGTCAATCATTTATGCAATTAACAGTAACAAAAATCAAGGAACTAGGGATTCATTTGCAGGAATAACCTGCTCATCCAGCTTTTTGACAATGACTAGTCTTAAAGTTGGATGCAACCAGATAACCCTCTATGGCAATATAATCATATGCACGTGCACTGAGCTTCCTCACACATGAGCTCTCCTCCTAGTTACGTGGGAAATGGTTATAGCAACAGAAAAAAAATTGGCCCAGTGATTGCGAAAATCATTAACATAAAAAAGTCACTGACCAGTGTTGATCTCTCTTAATCAGGGGTGTTGAGAGGTGCAAAGTGGGTACAGACCTAATATTCAACATTACTTGAAGAAAGTGACAGCTTTTGGACTTCAACCTGCGTTCTCACGCTTGCCAGTCAAAGCTTAATACCATTGCACCAAGCAATGACACCGAGAAAAAATTTTGACACATGAAAATATATATGCATTGAAAATAAAATAAAAAATCAAAGATTACTTGTGTGATTGAAAAAACAAGACAACATTATTTAGCTGAAGGAAAGGTAAAAAAAAAGGTTCAAATATAACACTGAATCGATCTGCTGAACACTAACCAGATCATCTGCTCATGACAAAAAGCTCAACTTAAGATATTACCAAAAAGGATGAGCATCATATCTGTACCTTAGCAACATCTCGAACAGTAGGTTTAAGTCCATATTTCCCAAGAACAGAATCGCCATACACCTGGTACTGTTCAAGGACCTACAGAAGATAATTGTGACATGACTTTAGCAGCATATGGATGCTGAAAAGATACATTTAATAGAAATCCAAATCTTCCAGAACCTGACGGCGCGTAAGATCACTGCAGGGTGCACCATAAATAGCAGTATCAACGTGTCCCAGAGTGTACCAAGGGCTGTCAAAAAATGTACAACAATTAAAGTCAAATATCTAACAATTGTGTCAAATTAAGAAAAAGAAATTACAAAAGAGAAAAGAGAAAAAAGGAACGGGAGGATGAAGAAGAACACAAACAAACAAAAAGGAAAAAAGTTAAAAAGCCAGTCTAACAGTTCTCTATTAACTCTTTGCAAACAACAGAGTTCCAGGACTCCACATGATGACATGCATACAACTGAAAACCTTATTTTAACATGAACTACTGTAGTATGATTACAAGTATCACATTAGATATATTAGATATCGTCCTAAAATGTAGCCAGGTTCGACCAGTAAATTAGAGATATATTATCCTCAATTCCAAAGCTAGCGCTGGTGTACAGAAAATAGTTACACATAGTAGTTATACTACACTATTTCAAGGTAAAAGCAAATTTTCAATAATAAATAAAGTGCAGCTCATCAAGTCCTGGGGAAAATAAAATACTGCAACCAAATTTTCATGATGTTCATACTTATTGAATGCCGCCCGTCCAACCATAACCCCATGAGCTCCTTCCCTTCGTGCCGCATTGACCTATTAGTTAAAGTTACAATAAAAAAAGAGGTGAAAGATGAACAGAACAGAATTTTATTGTACACAAGAGAACAAGTTCAATACAAAAATAAAGTCAAATATGCAGCTCACTTGGCCTATAAAGAAGAAATCCAGAAACCAAATCATGTTGAAAGTTAAAAGTAAACACAAACATCTCAATTCAACAAAATAAAGCTTTTCCAACTATTCGGGATTTTAGGCCCATTAGTATGGTAAGTAATTCGAACAAGGTCTTAAGACGAGTTCTCTCCAAGAAGTTGTCTTCTGTGTTGTATAACACTTCCCTACCTCCCAAGGGGCTTATTTTTAAAGGTAGACAGATCTTTTGTTTTGATTTGATCGCCAATGAGGTCATTGGGGAATGCAAGGATCCATGGAAACTAGAATAGGGGCAATTTTAAGTTGATTTTTGAAACGCCAATTGTCAATTGAAGTGGGTTCTCCCCCGCCATGTGGTTAATGGGAAAGGTTAGTTGTCACAGACAAGTACATATGTTTTGTCCCACTAGAGTTATGAATCTATCAACTTATTTGATTTGAAAATGTAAATTCATGAGTTTAGTTTTGTTTTGAGAAACAAAATATAAAAAACCATTACAATCACCAAAAAATTAGTTATTGTATTCCAAAAATAATTAGTTATCATTCACATAAACCTTATTTTTGTCCCTACTATTTATTGAGATAATTTCAAACACTTCCGTTATCCTAATGAATGTCAAAGAAAAAAATAATAGTAGTGTAATATGATACAATGTCCTAGTGCTTGCTGGGTTTTGAATGAGTGCGGTGTATCATTTGTGTTAGTTTAATTGTTTGTATGTTGGTGTGGCAATTATGCATTACTGTGTATAATTATCTTTTAGTGTATGCATGTGCTGTTTAGCTAGACGAGAGTGAGAGCTGTTTTATTTAAGTGTGTGCAAATATGTTGAAGGAGTGATAAAAATAAATAAATAAATAAAAATGTGCATTAGTGTAATATGTACAGTGTTTTATGATGTGTGTGTACGTAATTGGAGTTAAAACTCTTCGGTGTCAAAGAAACTCGATGTTGTGATGGACCAATGGTAATGGTGAACTTGTCCAAAAAAAAAAAAAAAAAAAGAAAAAAAATGTTATGGTGATGGAGGCCTCGTTTAAAATTTTCACCCTAAGCCTCCAATTGTATAGAGTCAGCCTTGGCAAGGATCTAGTCGAAGGAGCCTATCACTGACGATAGATGTGTTTTGTCCCACACAGAGTGTGTACTAGGTGATCTTGGGGTTAATAAATGGGTGTGAGGAACCCCAAAGCAACTAGTCCTTTTTGGTGTGAAACGCCCATTGTGATATTATGGTCTAAATTTTTATTAGTTTTACTTCTGTAATATACACAAGTATATTTATATTACTTTACAAAATTATTAGTTAAAACTAACCAAATTTATGAGCTTGTAGTTTTAATTGACTGGAGCAAAGGGGAATAGTAAGGCCTTTTCTTTTTCTTTTTTTTTCCAATTTTTTTGCTAAATACATTGATACCACATTGGAATTTTTAGTGATTGTTCTACTCTCCTTAAAAAGTCTTGAGGTTGGGTTCGTGTTCTATTATTTCCCATCCATGTAAAAGTCGTCATTGCTTATTCTTATATTTTGTTTCCCTTTGCTTTGAGGAAGGATTCCTCATCCATATTGTGATGTTTTGGTCTGAATTTAGCCCGGGTTGCATTGTGACTTGATTTTGACCCGCCGACCTGATGATTGAGCTTTGCTTGCAGGTCGTGGACCCTGTTTATTACGCTTTTGTAGCCCAATATATTAGGGCGTTTAGGGTTTGGAGTGGGATAACGGGAGAACACTGAAAATTGCAAAGAAAGAAAGTGAGAGCCAGAACTAGGGTTTGGGGGCCGAAACTTGTAATGTCTTGTTTTCCGCATAGTAAAAACTTTTGCCAAATATTCACCGTGTACGTAGGCACAACTTCTGTCGAAGCACACTAAATCTTTGTGTTCTTTGTGTGTGGCGTGTTTACTTTTCTATCTTGATTCGTGATTTGTTCTTGGTTCATTACGTTTGTCATAACACAAATCAATCTTGGATTTTCCTTTTCTTTTTAATGCATGAAGGGGTCTCTAATGCTATGTTTGGTTGGAGGGATGGAAGAGAGGAGGGAAGAGAGAGAGACTGTGACATGTTGGGTCCAATGTGGTGGAAAATTGATGAACTTGCTCCACTGGAGTAAAACAAACATCATTTTTAAGGTAAATTGACTTGTAGAAATAGCATTTTATCTTGTTTCAATCCAAAAAACTACACATTCACAGAAATAAATAAAAACAACAACCACAACAACCACCACCTTTCATAATACTTATTAGACCAAAAACATGTGCATCACAAACAACCCTTGACAGCAATATATGCATACCATTTGGTATTGTTAGTTTAGCCACAAGACTACTTTATGTTATGTTTCAAATGTGACTGAGCAAACTGGCATTTACCTCGTCAATGCTATTTATGCCTCCATTAATTGTAAACCTTAAGTCAGGAAAGTCGCGCAAAAGAGCATAGTAGAACTCATATCTGCATTAGAGAAATTGTCAATTACACAGGGCCAAACGTGTAACAGATCATCCTGATCTAAAAACTGCTTGCACTTTATTAACTTAAGCTATGTTCTATACAGTAGTTTTGAGCCGATGCCATCAAATTTAATTTACAAAACTGGATAAAAAGATTTTATCAGTAACCTGGGTTAATTAAATCCATTCTTAATGAACAAGCAAAGAACCAAGCAATACATACTTCAGGGGAGGAATTTTTCGATTGTCGGCAGGGCTAATGCCATTGAGCAATGCTTTTCGTGCATGTATAATGAAATGTCTAGTCGGTGACTGAGAAGAAACCTTATAAATAAAATCACCTGCATAAAAAAAAGGCCAAAAAAATCATGCTCCTCACCAACGTTTCCATAAAATCCCAAAAGCACAAATGGGCACCTAGCAGAATCGCAGTTATGATCATTCCTTTTTCAGATAAACAAAAAAATTGCACGTTGTCACTAGTTAGAATTTTGGCACAATAAAGTAGCAACTAATTGGAGATGTCCGTCAACAACGGCATGAAAGTATTCATTGCTTTCAAAATAGAGGGGAATATTATATGGACTTGAGTATGAATTTTAAATGCAGTATTACATCTAGGAGTAAGAGTCATCAACCTCTTAACTCTTATGGCACAAGGACATGGCAAAATGACCACCATGACTTACTTCTCTTCATCCTTAACTAAAAATTAAATGAAAATTCTATGCAAAATTGCTTTAGACGTAGAGGAAATGTTGCGTGATTCAAGTGTGCATTTTAGGTGCAGGAGTATGTGTAAAAGTAGGATTCATCTGACCAATATGTTTTATGCATGATAATATGGTGAAAATGATCATCATAACTGAGATTTCTTCATCTTTAACCAAGGATGAAACGCATTGAATGCAAAATTTCATGTTAGACGTGTACTTAGTACCTACACTCCTTAATGGAAACATTCAAAACATAGTGTGTTCCAATTCATTCTTTTTGTGGACACTCCTGTTAGGGAAGAGTTAGATGGCCCCGTACCCACATCTTATCCACACATATTGAAGTGCTTGTGTAGCATCCTAGATACAGAAGAAACAGATTTATTCGAAATTAAATGCATCTGTGAGTGTATGACCCACGTAATTCTTGCTACAAAGGAATAAATGATCAAAAAGATTGGTAAATGACCTTTATAGTGCTGAATCGTCCCTACTCTTCTTTTCACTAAATAAATGAGTCCTCATTATTCAACCTAAGAGTGCAAGACAAATCCCATTAATAATCTAGCTAAATCCAAATTCTACCTACTGAGCTTACTGTACCTCCAAGGCCGGGTATTACCCATCTCATCCAAGCCATAAAAACTGAGGAATCACCTTCAACACGGAGATTGTTTAAACCCAAGGCATGTGCTTCTCAACGACTGTCTAATTAAGCAAAAAATTAAGCTTTTATAGCATACTGGTCACTTATTGTGGACCTTGAATATGAGAAAGCAGAATTTTTTTTAAGGTCCCTTGTGATACCTCTATTTCTTAATTGGTGCCAACTGCCAAGAGAACATTCATCAAAATTGAGCTTCAACCAATTTCTCAGTACATCACTCCATGAAATTGACTGCATCACTGCTTGATTCCAAAAGGAACGAGGCAAAGCCCACTCAAACTTGACTCCACTAAAAAAGAGCACCGCAAACAACATAGCGCTAGGAGCCAAAGATATGAAGGAAGAAAATATTGTCCCACAGAAGATCAACTACCAAGATTTTAATCATCATCAAAGATTCTAATCTTACTCTCCCTCAAATTGCCTCTCAATATTTTCTTTTTCTTTTTTTATTTTACAAGTCATTCGCTTCTTTTTTTTCTTTTTATGGTTCTTCGAATTTTTGCAGCAAAAACTTCTTCCTCCTCTTATACAAATACAATTACTCTATTGATTCATATAGCATTTCGTATGAGATTTTATTATATTTTCCCATAGCGCATTATTTGAATATCATAAAACTATGACATTCCAATTATTCTTTACCATCATTTGTGGCTATGGTTCCAGGTCCCATATGGAATCCATTTTGAAAAATGGGTTTGTGACTTCATATGTTTTGATAAATATAACAGAAAGCTTTGTGCAAATCTTCCAAGATTTAGCATGAAGCAGATAGTGTGCATCTTATTTTTTAAAAATAAAAAAATAAAATTATATGTAAAGTTATTGTGATGTTGTGGCCCGAATTTTGGTTTGCCTTGGGTCGAGTTGCAACCCGGTTGACCCGAAAAGTGAGCTTTGTGTGGGCGCAAGTTTTTTTGGAAATTTTTTTACCCTTTTTTTTTTGCGGGTCATGGACCCTATTTAGTACTCTTTTGTAGCCCGATATAAAAGGATGTCTCGGGTTTAAAGTGGGATAGAGAGACTCAGAAAATCGCAGGAATGGAAGTGGAAGCGAGAGCTAGGGTGGGGGCTGAAACTTGTAATTTCCTGATTTTCGCATGGGGAAACCTTTCGCCGGATCTTCACCATGGGCGTAGTAGCACAACTTGTGTCGAACCATGTAAATCCTGTGTGTTGTGTGGTGCTTGTTTTTGTAGTGTTTCGTGATTGTTTCTTGGTTCACAACTGTTTGTGACAACAAATATCAACATCTTGTTAAAAATTAAAACAAAATAAAGAACAGAAGTTCTTAGTCTTAAGACTGTCAGTCCATGTAGTCTTTCTTCAAGGATTAATGTAATTTCATCAGTAGAAAAGTAATTCAAATCTATTTCCCTAACCTGAAATAGATTGACAAAGAAAGTTAATAGAAGAACCTTACAGAGCTCATTGTATGAATCATGATTATCGACACCAATTCGGCATTTAACGCTGACAGGAGCATCTGATTTGGCAGCAATTACTGACATAGCCTCAGCAACAAACTTTCCTTATAAAAACCAAATATCTATATCAGAGCACATTGACAAATAAACTAACCACCTAGATTGACTTGTACTTAACAATGTAGTCAGCACAAGTTTTCAAACCTTTGGATCAAGCATAAGACGCACGCCGAAACACCCATGGCCAGCTACCCTAGGGCTAGGACATCCACAACTGGTAGGGAAAAAAATATATCATTTCACTGATGTAAAATAAGGAACGAGTATAAGAGATTGATGAAAACGGAAGAACGGACTTAAAATTAATCTCATCATAGCCATAAGGATTTGCTAGTTCAGTTGCTTTTGCAAGGTTCTCCAAATTACTTCCCCCAATTTGAAGCACAATAGGATGTTGTTCTGGAGTATACGCCAAGAATCTGTCCTGATCAATTCAAAGATACAAAAATCAGAAATTGGTGAAAACAGACACATCAAATGCACCATACCCAATTAATTGAGAAGTCCTATTTAAAGAACAATGAGATATGAATACTACAATGGTTATTGAGGAAGACAAAAATCCAAATCAAATATATATATATATATATATATATATATATATATACACACACGAGTATATAGCAATTTTAAAATGAAAAGTTAAAGCTCTAAGACCTCCCACTTGAAACAGGATCAAAGATATCCACCAAATAGACTCCACCAGGCTGGTCTTGGAAACTAAAGATGTTTAGGATAACAAGTTCTTCTAAGTTATTTGTCATACTCATATCAAGCAGATAGCATCACAGTTGAAACATTGCCAATATCTGATATAATTTCCAAACTAGAATACAAAAACACAAACAAATAGTAGGTCCTTAATTTAAGGTTCAAACATCATTTAATCACCTAGAAAAGTTTCAACAAATTTGACCAATCAACCGAAGTGTAGGATTCAATCTAAACAAGTTTAGATCATTAACTTCTTTTTCTTTTTTTTGATAAGTTGAGATCAGTAACTATCACCAAAAAAAAATTTGTTTTTTTAATAAACTAACTACAACCAAACACATGCTTGATGGTGAAACAACATAACCGAGGACCAATTATGGTTGGCAAAACACCACACGGTCCACGCCTAATTTTTATTTTCCTCGCATTAGCTTGACATGCTATCCAGAACCATTTCATTAGCAAATAACTTGCATCAGAAGGAAAATTTCTGTTGGGAAAGCGGAAGCGCGTGAATAAGAAAGATTCAAAGAAATTCCACTATGATTCGTAAAGATATTACAGCAATAGAGTACCAACACCACGTACATGTCATTTTACCATGTACCACTCCACGAGTCTATCTCCTCGCTAACAGTGTCACCGGTGTTTTTCCTACTTTATTAACCCATAAACTACCTCTACCCATCAGCTCTCTCATTCGCATAAGTCTCAACCCAAAGCCTATGTATCTATTTATAGAGTTCCAAATCATTGAACAAGGATTACAATTTCTTAGAGATCAAGACTTGCCAAACAAGAAATTACCAAACAGAATACAATTCAAAAATAGAAACATAATTAGAATAGGAATTTGAGACACAAATTCCAACAATCTCCACCTTGGCTCAAATTATATCTAGCCAATCATCGCTTCCCATAGCATTGATCAGGACAATTCTTTTGCAGCTTCAATCTTGACTATACTCAATTAAAACTCCGATAGTCCACATTATACGCTGCCCGATCAGTCAAACCTTCAAGGGTCCACCGTGACTACTCGAGCTCCATGCCATGTAACCAAGCCGATTAACTCCACCTACAACTGAAACCCGTCGAAACATATGTTGAAACTTCTTGTGTTTCTAGATCTCCTTCACCTTTGGCTCCGATACCAATTTGTTGAGGCAACGGAAGTGCACGAATAAGACAGATTCAAAGAAAGCCGACAAAGCAATCACACACAACCACAAGATATACATGGTGCAGCCAAAACAGGCCTACGTCCATGAATAAGAAGAGATTCCACTATAATTCGTAGAGATATTACAACAACATAGTACCAACACCACGTACATGTCATTTTACCATGTACCACTCCATGAGCCTATCTCCTCGCTACTAGTGTCACCGGTGTTTTTCCTATTCTATTAACCCATAAACTACCTCTACCCATCAACTCTCTCATAAGATTACATCTCTCTCATTCTCATAAATCTCAACCCAAAGCCTGTGTATCTATTTATAGAGTTCCGAACCCAATTCATTGTTAGACAAGGATTACAATTTCTTAGAGGCCAAGACTTGCCAAACAAGAAATTACCAAACAGAATATAATTCTAAAATAGAAACATAATTAGAATAGGACTTTGAAACACAAATTCCAACAATTTCCTATTGGTATGAACAATTGAAGTACATAACTAGTGGACCCACTCAAAGCCAACCCTTAACGTAAGTCTATTCTATTGCAACCCTATTCATCTTACTTAAAGAAAGGTAAAGTCTTTGGGTTTCTATATTCGGACTACTTTCATGTTATTGTTTGGTTTTGTCCCAATTAACCTCGTTACAATCACCCCTTCAGTTCACCTATAATGTCAAAAGAATTTCTCCACCACAAACACGGTTTTTTTTTTTTTTTTTTTCCCTTTTGTTTAAAGTAAAAAGGTTCAATTAGAGTGCCAATGGAGGCAACAAGTAAACACACGATGTATACATACACCAAATGGCCAAATTAACAAAAAAACAGAGAACCTCACAGGATAAAATTAAAAAATAATAATAATAATAATAATAATAATAATAATAATTAAAAAAGAAGAAGAAGAAGATAAATAACCTAACCACCTAGGTGAAGAGGCTTCACCCCCATCCACCCACAACTAAAGAACTCTAACTACCCCTTGCCTCCTCCCACATCATAATTTATTGAACTATACAACTTCCACAACTGTCTTTCACATTCCAACTGAGCCCACTATATCCTTCTTCAACCTTTTACTCTTCTTCAATCTCCATCCAAAATTAATGTCAAGATAAGGCTTCATCCTCAAACCCCTTGTGTGAAACACCCAAACATTTGCTTAAGCCCTCAATTCTCTCCAAAATCTAAGCTACTGCTTCTGAAGAATCCGCCTTCAGAACTATTACGAACACCTCTTCAATGTCTTCCGTCGTACTAAACACAGCTAAAAGTTTATTGTATATAGGACCCATTAGATATCAAACACCTGACTCCTCAAACAGCAACCCCATGTCTCAGGATAAAAGACCTTCACCATCTTCCTCCTCTAATTTAATAAGTTTTGAATAGCCCCCTAACTTACTCGAATTAATGCCAACTTATCTGCTCTCCCAGGCTCTTTGCTCCTGTCCACTGTTTCCTTCATTTTCTCGACAACAGACCCCTTCTCCAAGGACCGGAAAACTTGACGCTTTCTTCCCACATCCACTTTTGCCAAAACTTTGACAGAGTATAATAACATGTTAAAAAGGTTTCTTTGGGTGCTCAACGCCTTCTCCCCCATAATTAGAAAGACCATATTTCCTCTCACCTCCGTAATAGGACATTGCCGCTGGCTCTAGCCTAACAATTATGGACCATCTTCCTTTCCTTACTTAGACATCCCCCGAATGCAGCACCCTTATAGCCCACTCCAAACCTACTAAAGCCCAGCCCAACATCATGTCACATCAATCAGACTAAGGTCTTTCCCAAAACCAAGTTAACTAAAAACTCTGTTCATATGTTGTCCGAATTAATAATGAAAGGATAATTTACCTTCACGGGATCATTGCAGGGATTATCAAAATTGTAGCACGTTTACCATGCCTCCCTCTCATAGATTTAATTTTGGCTTCATAAAGTGTATCAATACACAATCAGTCCTTCCCATATCATATTATATGTTAGACTAACTCAAATAGTATTGTGTGTGTGTGTGTGTGTGTGTGTATGTGTGCACCGCTCTCCTGAAACATTTGTGTACAGGAAGATAATTCAATATTTACTGGATTTCATGGAAACAGAAAGCAATACGAATCATGCGATAACAAATGATAACAATCCCCAAAATGTAAATTTCATGCTCATTTTTAATTTTTATCTCCATATTTAGAAGTCCCCTGGCTTATAGTTCTTGATGAGTTGTCAACAATGTTGGCACTTTCTCTTCATAAAACAAATAGAAGTCCCATTTTGCACAAACATACCAAATCTCCCTTTTGATAAACAATTGTTTCTGCAGCAAGCATTTCTGTGTAGAGCCATGCATGCTTTGAAATGAGTCGGGCAAGAAATCTATAATGATTATCTGTCCACTCCATCATTGGAGCAACACTGCAAGAACAAGTAAGTACAACTAATTCAAGTTCGAAGATTCAATAAACTTATTATCCATGACAACTAAATTGAAATCCTAAAGCTACTCACCTGAACCAAGGAGGAAGATATCGCTCAGCAACCATCACAGGTTCTCCGTGTCGTTGGCGCTTCTGATTGCAAGCATATAATTTCCTTGGTTTAGTAAAATTCCCATGAAATATACTTGATGACAATCTGCTACTGTTTTTAAAAATAAGAGAACAAATAGGAGAAACAGACGCAAATGAAGCATGTCCTGCAGACGTCATCATCCCACTAATGAGATCGTAAGCAGCTCTTTTACGCACCTATCCATTAAATGAAACTACATTACATAATGTCATGGCTTGTGATCTCGAAAAGTTAATTAAACTGTATCATATACATGGGTGATTGACTTCATGACTGCAAATTGTCAAAAGAAAATATCAAGTGATGGGTAGTTTATTCACCAGTTAGCCCTAGGAATCGACGCCTAAGAAGCACGGATATGGAATAGGGACACCATGAGATGACACAAACACTATTAAACAACAATGGAACAACCTTACCGCCAAGGCACGCCCTCAGTAATTATAAATATTATTAAAAAATTATTAGTTACAACCAATAAAAGTACCATGACTGTAGCATGAATTCTTTAGCTTATACTCATCCACAATTACAGTACTTTTCAAAATTTACTATTTTAAGAAAAGATTAGTTATGTTCTAATACACCCAATACTGTTCCTTCAATTATATAATAACCTCTTCTACAAAATGATAAAAGCATAGAGCGTTCGTTTTGCTTCAATGGAAAATTTTTCCAAGAAGAAGTTTTCCGAGAAAATAAAATTTTAGTCCAGTAGTACACAAAATCTTTAACCCAAAGGTGTTTGTGAAAAATACTCACAGAAACATGGTTCTAGAAAATGTTTTACGTCAAAACAAATGTGAGAGAAAGGAGAAATTTTACATTTCAGTCGAAATATGCAGAGATTTCTGACGGGAATTAATCCAAACATAAAAGAAATTAACATGACTACACGTGCTAAGGAAGTTAATTCAGAGAAAGTATGTTTAAAATCAATGAATATATGTGTTTGTGTGTGTTTAGACAGACACACGCATACATATACATATATAAACAATTATATAGAGAGAGAATGAGGAGGGATTAGGGTTTACATGGATAAAAAATGTTCGCCGCAAGGAGGGTGGTGCAACCTCGCCTTGGAAAAGTCCAGCGACTGTGGTCTGTGATTAAAAAAGCTTTAAAATACAAAGAAAATTTATACGGATATATAACATAAGGTCTTATTTATTCACCGCGTGCGTTATAGAGAGATTGAGAGCCCCACTTCTCATATGGAGTGGCTTGCTTTTAACGAAAATTTGAGATATTGCAACTTGCAAGTCCATTTTTCTATGCTAAAAAACCAATTTTTTTATTAAGATAATAAGGATAATTTCGAAAATAATTTTCTAAATTGTTAATTATTTTCAGAGAATTAAAAATCAGAGTTTGAAAATGATTTTTGAAAATTTAGTTATAAAAAGACATGTTTAGCAATAAAACAATTATGAAGGACTGTTTCTGAATTACAAACTAAATAGATCTTAAATGATAGACATGTAATTTTTTTTTTTTTCCCCCCTCCCCTCCCCTCCCGTCCTCTTTTAAGGATAGGTTTAGCCGAACCTTCTAGTAATATTTTTTAAATCTCCATAAGTTACAATAGGGTTGATTGTCAATTTCACTTAAGCTGAACAATAATAGAGTATTAGAATTCCGTCACTTTTTTAATGAAAAGAAAAAAATCAACTAATTTGCTAACCACTTTAGACACTGAGATTGCATACAATTGCCCACAAATCACTTGCATATTTAAATCTCACCACACAATGTGGCAAGCTTACACGATCCACTACTATTGGACTTAGATCGAATCGGCTTATTAATTAATTTCCATAAATAAATAATATGAGTTTGAGTTCAACCCAAAAATAATAATTATACTAGAGAAAAGGATATTTGCTTTGATGGAATAATTTCAAGTTTTAGGATTTCTTTACCCTTATTTTAAGTTGTTCTATGTTGTTCCATTTGGGAATAATCACTTTGTTTGATGTAGAATTGAAAATATTTATTAAGTTGGTAATAATATCAAGCACTCCAATTGACATCTCAAAAAATATAAATAAATAAATAAGAAAAGAAGAAAAGAAGAAGAAGTAGTTTGACTCCAAAATTTTCCAGCAGCTTTTTATACACAAACAGATTGAGCAATTTCGTCACCACCTTTTTTTCCTTTTACACAATTTATCAATTACAATTTCTATTTTCTTTTATAAATTGATGCACACATCTATTTTGCACCACTTGCAGTTGCCGCGGTGTAACGAATTCGGAAATTCATAGAAAAGTGTAACAGTATTAAACTATTAAAAAATAGTCACGAACCGGACGATACGGCAACCATGCTTGGAAGTCAAAACATCCACCACTTTCTTTTTTTTCAATTTTTCACAAATTCACCAATAATCCACGCCTAGAACTCTCTTTTCCAACCCTACCTGACCATTAGAAGTTGGTTTCGTAGCAAGTGGAAGCAGAAATTGCTTAGATATGACCCAATGGCTTATTTGAGCAATCTTGATGTTGAAGAGGGAAGAAGACTTGAACTGTTAACTTGTGACTCTTCACTGCTGACTGCAATATACAAACTACTACTCAAACAATGTCGATGCTTTGTTTTTTCAAGCGTGGCGACCAATTTCCGAAAACAGTTTTCAAACAACGAAACAAGTTTCTGTACAATTTTCTGAATTTCAATTATCTGAAAACAGAAAAGTGAACCAAACACGATCCCTCCATTTTTGCACTATAAGAAACAAAAGTGACAGAATGTTCAGTACTTTTGACAAATTTCAACAAATCTCGAATCTCAAATCGATATGCTATGCTATACATGAAGGTTGCTATGTATACCCATAGCCTACAGTTTATGAGCTAACATATTTTGGAGCAGGTCTATCACTGCTCAGTTACAGCAGATGCCCCAAACATGGAATTAAGAGGGGGAAAAACAACACTAAAGCCTATGGACAGTTAAGACTCCAAATGTACAGCTAAAAATAATGGAAGAACAATAGAAGAGAAATGGGACTCCTGCCTTCGAGTGAAACCTGGTTGGGCCAAAATTAGCTCGTGATAAAAGACTGCAGCAATCCGAGCAAGCAACGTTCCCATTTCTTGCCCTTGATGCCTATGGAATGGAAGACATCTCCAAATTGAAATGATCGCCCATATTCTTGATTGATTTTTCTTGTGAGGTCTCTACACCTGGATCGGAAGTCTCCTCCATAGGGTACATGATCATCCACAAAGAGAAATTCACACTTCATGCATTTTACCGCTTTTGCTTCTGAGGAACAAATCGGATTCTTTGCTTCCCGAGATCCAAGTTCCTAGCCCTTCCATTATCGAGAGCAACAGAAAGAGTCGATGTGCCTTCTATTACATCTGTTACCATTCCCCTATGCCTGGAAGAAAAGAAAATCAAAAGTTGAGCTCACAATGCACAGAAAATTCTCCATGGGATTAAAAAACTGTGAGAAAACCATTTCCAACGTAAAATGCACCAACTTCTAGATACAGTTAGACAGTAATTTACTAGTACCCTAGATTTCCCTATATACTGATTTCGAATGAAGAACTCACCAGGAATTGTCAGATGGCTGATGAACTTCCACTCTCTTTCCTACGGCATCTTTGCCCAACTTCTGCAGCACCCAATTAGCATCCATGATCTCATCCATCGTACTTTGTTTGTGCCACTGTGAGATATCCTCATCTTCATTGGCTGATGTTTTCTCCGTGAAGGGTGATGGTCTTTTTCTCTTTGACCTTTGGCCCTTAATAGAACTCCTCTCATCCTCACCCCGAAGAGCCCAGGAACCTTGATTTTCATGATAAGGATTCTTGAATTTAAGCTTCAGCAAAGGTTTGGAATCCTTTGGCAAAGATTGTGCGACTGCAGATGCAGATGCAGATGCAGAACTATTATCATTAACGCAATCACCAGATACATCACGCCTACCTTCGGAATACTTCCTCAAAGATACCTTGTTACCTCTAATCGCAGGGACTTTGGCTACATTCCCTACCACAGCCATGCTTCCTTCAGTAATTTTCCCCCAGGGAACATGTGGGTTCACAGGATGAATGGATTCATATCCATTAGTCACATTTCCTCCACCAAAATTACGTTCCATGTCAGAAGCTTCGGGTTTAATTTTTCTGATCGTCATCAAGTTGCCTTCTCTTCCTCTGAATTTGGTACCCTTTAATTGTTCGGAGTAATTATCTTTATCCACTGCAACAATGTTTGTCACATTATAAGTTTAGATAAGTTAATCTTCAAATACATAAGCGATCCCATGGTAGAATAATAAACTAATAAAAGCAATGTTTTACTGCAATTGATTAGTGGTGCACAATACCTTCACCTTCACCAAGTTTTGCTGTAGCGCCATGTCTCCCCAACATATGCCTGTCACTCATTTGCTGTTGTCCCGTATTCTCACTGCCTGTTCATGTACAAGAACCATAATAATGTATCATTGCGCACCAACACAAACACACACACACACACACACACAGAAGATGAGGGGATATCCATCATATAATGTCAGATTGAGATTCTATAAGATATGGGTGACTACCAATTTTTTAAAAATGTACAGAAAAATGAAAAGAAAAAATAAATAAAATATAACACCCTAACAAAGTAAAGAACTGGGTACAGAGAATTCTGTATACCGTTATCTGACAAAAAAATAAAAATTATTGTTTAAGTACCAGAAATTATTTGTCTGAATATATGAAGGGAGGATATGACAAATATAATCTACATGCAGCGATAATGAAGGACAGAAAATGGAGGCACTAACAATTGTGCAACTTCAACTTCCACATGCACAAAGTCTGACAGTTCATTGCAGAGTCTACAACTTAAAAAAATTTAATTTTTATTCTTCGAAAAATCTTTGACAGATCACAGATGCCACCATGCGAAAAGCTGGGAAGCTTCCAGTCTAGATGGGCACTTTTTACTCCCCTGGGTTTCGGTTTATTCAAGATACACTACTAGCTAGCAGTTTTTTCCCCTTTTCCTTCTCTTTCTTCTCTGTCTCCAAAAAGTAAATGCTATCCTTCTCCTACATTCCCCCCCACCCCCCCTGGGACAATCTTCATTCACAAATGTCACCATGCAAAAAGATGGAATATAAACCATATTTGCATTTGCTAGAATTGATTTTCCTCCCCATCCTCCTCCATAAAACTAATAAAAATCAATTGTAAACAATTGTCTATCAAAAGAAAAGGAATGGATTTGGAAAATAGGTGGCATACCATTAAAAGTTGTCAAATCATGCTCTCTTTGATAAGTTAAACCATCAGACCCTGGAGAACTATTTGCATTTCTATTTCGCCCTGCTAGATGTATAACCAGCGTCCTTCCCTTGGTAGCATTTTTCCCAATGTCGTCCCTACCATCCAAGTCATGAGGTTTATTACTCTGAACCATTTTCGATTTCCAATTATCGTTACTAACTGCAACTTCATCTATGAACTTCTGTTTTAGGACCACCGCCTGATTGACAGAGCATATCTCTTCAGTCAAACTTCCAGCAGCGGGAGAAGAAAAAGGTTCTCCGCTTCTATGGGACTGCATAACACTATTCCTGCCATCACCCATGCTGTATCCAAATGATTGGGCATCACTATGTCCTACAAAACTGTGACGTGCTTCTGTTTTACTGATTAAAGACGCCTGATATCCTTTCTTCTTAGTGCCCTTCTTATTTGAAGGTTTCTTTCCATACTCCTTAGTATTCTTTGGTGATTTATCAACTAAACCTTTGAGAGAAAACTTTAAGGAACGACCATAATCATTCTTCAATAAAATAGGGCCATTTTCTTCTTCATCTGAGTAAGGTGAAATAGAAAATATTTCTTCTTGAATAGGCAATCCAGAAGCTGCCCTCAAGCTTGCAATTAAATCTCGATCAACTTCGTCTCTCCTCCTCCAAAGTTCCTGAACAGCATCCTCAAGATCTCTAACCTGGAAATTTAGAAAAATCAAAGAAGAATAGAATTATATTAGCAATCAACAGCAAAATATTGTTCTCCTCCGAAGAATCGTGTTTTAAACAAACCTCATAGCACTCTCCACGGCATGTGGCACATCTGTATTGAAGATTTCCATCTACTTGGAACTGCTGATATTTTTCATCGCTGCAAAGATATTTTAATTGATATAAACAAGATCATATCTGAAAGTATTTCCAAACTACTTCTCCACTAAAGCTTAAGAAAATGTTCACTTCTCACAAAGAAAAATAAAAAAATAATTATAAAGTGCATATTCTGCAACTGAAGCAGTACAAAGAGAAAGAAGATAATTATTTGGGTGAAAGCTTAGCAACTGATAGTCCATGCAAACAACAGAAAGCAGGATACAGTAGATTTTGTACCGATTGGTATCTAAGCTGCTTCACTTCTCAGTTATTTCAAGGGGTGTAACACCTCTCATCACAAAATGGTATCGGAAAGTGTTATTTGAATTGTCATGGTCTTATTTAAGTAAATAAATAATTCCAAAAGCTCCCAACGGTGGATATCAGTTAATTTTAACTATAATATTCTTATCATGATTACAAACTTGAAAGTGTGTTGAGAGGTCTTACCCTAAAAAAAAATGTAGAAGTATTTCAAAGTATGTTCATAAGAAATCAAGCACACTCGAAAGTTCTTGGGGATCAAAACAGTAATTTAAACTGAAAAAAAATTATCATCAGGAACATGACTGAACATGAATAATTTCAATCAAGTCACTCAATGTGCAAAATGGGTTGTTACCCAGTGTGGTCCCCATTAACCAAGGGTGCTGGGAGCGGTAGACAAGATATAAACCTAACCTTTAGTATTATTTGCATACTAAGATATGTTTGTACAAAAAATCGGGAGCAAGGACTCAACTGCAATCTATGTTGGAGTTCAACTCTTAAAACTAAGAAGAGTAATCAGAGTTGGTGTTTGTCGAAGTAGCACAAACACAGGTACAAGACAGTCTCGACGGGATGTGGATACAAAGACGTGACAAATTCTAAAAATGCAGCATGCAGATATGTTTAGGATCAGCAATAGATACGCGTTGGAACTGATGGGACCTAAAAGTTCTTTTTTTTTTTTTGAAGCAAGGATTTCAAAGAAAAGCACTCAAGCGGGGACACATCCCATATACAACTGACCAAAGTCCAGAAGATTCACTATAAGCTCAAACTATACAAAAAACTACATGAGATCCTCCACTAATTTACTATACTAACCATGAATTCAAAAAAATAAGGAACCAAGTTAGAAGGACCTAAAAGAAGTTTCATCCAGATCCACACCACCTGCAAGTCTATATTCTCTCAGTATTTCCTCCTAGTCCATACCTTCTTTTTTTTTTTTTTTGATAAGTAAGACAATTGTATAGTGAAGCCCAAAAGAACTACACAAGGCCAAAAAGGGCCTCTAAACTTTCAATGAGTCCAAAAAATCAACAATCTCCTCTAATGATGTATAATTGCTCCCCACAACCCAACAAAAAAGAGTGGAGATAATAAAGAACTTAAGCATAGAAATAGCATTCTCCTTTCCTTCGAAAGATCTTCTGTTCCTCTCGAGCCAAATACACCACCAGATACATAAAGGCGTAACCCTCCAAGCATCTCGGACATGGACCCCCATTGTACAACCTCTCCAAGCCTCAATTAACCCTCTGGAAGATCTAGGCATGACCCATAGAACCCCAAACAAACCAAGCATCAAATCCCAACAGTCCCTAGCCTGTGTCAAGAGAGGTGATCCATCGTCTCCTCCGCACGAAGGCACATGCAACAATAGTTGACCACCACCTAATTCCTCCTCCTCAAAGTGTCCTGTGTCATGATCTTCCCTAAAGCGGAAGTCCAAGCAAAGAAAGCCACCTTGAGGGGGGCCTTGGAGCGCCAAACAGCCTTCCACAGGAAAGGAACCCCTGGCACCTCCGTAAGACACCTATAGAAGGATCGAACATCAAAACGACCCTGAGAAGTAAGGGCCCACACCCAACCATCAGAATCTCCACCCGTGATCTCCTGGCAATACAGCATTTCCAAAAAACCAATCGCATCCTCAATCTCCCAATCCTAAAAATGCCTCCTGAAACGAACATCCCTAGACGATCACCCGCTATCAAGCCAATAAAAGTTGACCACCATGGCCTGCCTATCCGTAGCAATCCTGAAGAGCCGAGGGAAAGCAAGAGCAAGAGGTCGATCCCCACACTAAACGTCCTCCCAGAAACTGATCCTCCTACCATCCCTGAGCCGAAATCTATGTGTTTGGAAAAACCATCCCACCTTCCGGATAAATTTCCAAACCCCCATACCCCCTAGTCCATACCTACACTATTTCAGAGGAGTATGCTCACTGGATTGCCAAAATAATTACTCATTGGACAAACTCAAAAAACAACTAATAAATTTGGAACTAGAATAACAAATAAGAGGACTAATAAGTTCAGATCATATGTAGTTTGTCATAAATAACGACCAATTCTCGCAATTTGCAAGTCAACTAACTGTTGCATCTCAGATGCTATTAAAAAGTGATTTCTATCAATATATATAATTTTCCACTCGTTGAACAGCCAGGGATGTCAATTTTACCCATCCCATCTCTGTTGGTATGGGTCTATAGATAGGACTCTTAGATCTTCCTCTCTTCTTTTTCATTATTGTGCTGAATTTTCTGGTTAAATTGCAAACAATACTGATTTGTTTTGGTCTATCATTCCAAAACAAAATTTTCTAAGCAATATCTTTTATATTTAAAAACTTCAAATGAGCAGTAACTGACTCACTGCACAGTGGTAAAATCCCTAGTGACTGCACAGTGGTAAAAGCGCTTAATTCACACCCAATGGAGTGTGGTATAGGAATTCGATTCTCACTAACATCAATCCAAAAACAATATTGAATAGAACTTTATATCATATGTAAACTCATGCTCATCAAAAGAATAAAATAGTAGGCAGGCCTTTCATATAGACTAAACCTTAAGCAACATGCTTTTTGGATATAATATGACATCACACAGCTAATCATGATGGTTGTATTTAAGAACAAGGGCAAAAGTAAACCTGATGTCATCGCAATGGCAGTGCACCCAACGTTGACAAACATCACAGCAAACCATAGGTGTTGGTTCAGAGTCCCTATAGACCTAAAGCATTAGAGACAAACAGGACATCAGTAATTATCTGTAGACAATGCATGGAAAGTATTCAAAATTTCTATGAGAGATTGAGAGACTTCCAAGTTCAAACAAATGCACATTCAACAGAAAATCAACATTTACACACCTATATAAAAAACTCACTGAACTGTCTACAAAATACTGTTTCTTATTTTGACAAGTTACAATCAGATCACTATTTCTACCAGAAGACGAAGCGTTTTAATATGATGCGGTATACAACAAAAAGTGAAGTTTTTAATTCAATAAATAAAGAAACTCAGACTCGATGTGATTAAAACAATATATGATACCTTCAAACAAACAGGACAGTAGTTTCCTTTCACAAATAATCTTCCACAAGCATCACAGCAGGTATATCCTAGAAACCACCTGGAAGTTATACCAGCAACAAGTAATCAATGTCCTACTAGCAAACAGATGCATCCTTGATAAATAACAAGGGTCAAAATAATTGTCTCCCATGATTCTGTAAACAGTAAAGGGTCTAAAGACACATACTGTAAATTTTTAAATCTTTGTAAAGATTGATTTATTCAGTCAGACAGTTTTTCATTCAGCCTTGTCAAAATTATGGCTCACAAAAAGGGGATAAAGTTCATACAAGTTAACTGAAGCAAAATAAAAGATTAACAAAACAAGATAATAAAGAAAAAGTTTTGAAAACATAAACAGAAACCATGGAATTGCTATAAAACAAAGTTTGAATTTAAGTTTGCAACATCAAACAAGCCTAGAATTTTTAAATTCAGATAATTTCCATGTGGATGAAATAGTGCAAGAGGCGATGCGTCAATAAACTAAAGTATATATATTCAGTACCAAATGGTACTCAATTGATATTGGGTAAAAATAACTATAGTTTAAAATCCAGTGATCTTTAAACATGAAAAAATAAGAAAATAAATTAAAAGAAGAAGAAGTTCATATGAAGTATGAACCAAAACTTAAACTTAAAAATACTGTTATACTCTGGACCTAAATGGACAAAACCATAACCAAATTATTAACATTCCTACTTATAATATTCGTTGACATGTTCAAATATTAGACGTTTTACTCTTTTAACCTCATTCCATAATACTAACAACAGCTTATGCAAATTTTAAATCTTTTTTATCTGACAACTTATTATATAGTTTCTGTTAAGTTCTATTATAAATTTGTGCTTCACAATAATTCATAGCAACAATATTGTGTTGTTGTACCTTTACCTCTAGCCCTTGTAAGTGTATACAAATACTTCCTTAGTTTTTGTCTCTTTAAATTGGATTTTTTTTTTTTTTGAAAAGTATCTTTTTACATTGTTTTATGATTACCCTTAGGGAAAACTACACTTACATTGAGATAGGAGTCCTAAATAACAAAGTAGTGTATTTTAAAAGTTCATTTTCACTTGGGTTGAATTAAACAAAATAATTACATATGCATTGAAAATCCTTGTTCATGTCCAAAATGCCCTCCAAACTCTTATTCCAAAACACTTGTTAAATCAAATAATCACACTAAAGATGGAGCATGTTAGCCCAAAACTTCTCATTCACTCAAATTGCTGCCAAGCCTTAATGCACCTTGTGTGTTTTATTCCTCACTCACACAGATCATTGTAAATTCATCCCCCGGTAAAGAAAATCGAACCCAATGCAACAAGCACTACGCTAGCGACTAGCTTTTAGGGGATCTCTTACAAATCAAGGTTTATTTTTACAGGTATACTCCCTCGCTCTCGCTCACTCTCTCTCTCTAGACACACACATATAGTGTTATGTCTTTCTAGAATTATCTGTTTGTTGCATGCCCTATACATCATCTCCCATGTAATATAATCTTTAAGTTTAGATAGAAACCATCTCCCTGTGTAATCTCATAGTTTTATACATCATCTTCCATGTAATGTAATCTTAAAGTTTAGATAAGCATCATCTCCTATCTAATGTAATCTCATAGTTTTTACCAAACAATGCAAACCCTTCACAACCAAGATTCTATTTTGCATTTCATGCTATGGGCAATGATTATTCAAAAGCACAAGTTAACCTTAACATACCCTTCAAAGATTAGAACAGAACTCTGAGAGAGAAAAGAACAAAGAGTGAATACGAAAGATGGTGCATACGGACTTATATCATGCGTGAGTGAAAAGAGGGACAATATATTTCTTGTTCAGTAGGGTTATTTGATTCATTAGGTATAGTTTGGCAATAAATGAGCTTAGGGGAAATTTTGGACATGAAATAATTCTCAATAGTGATTCTTGATGTATATGTAATTTATTTTGTCTAATTCAACTTAGGTGAAAAGTGACTTTTTTTTTCATAAGCAGGAATTTGTATTGATCTCAAATGATATGTCAATCAGTAAATAGAGGAAAGTGAGGGCATCCCCTAACTCGCCTAAATGATACGTCAATCAGCACATGTAGTGACCTTTTAAAATACATTACTTATTTATTTATGACTCCTAACTCACCTAAATGGCAGTTTTCCCTTTCTCTTATGTCCTTAATCACAATTTCTCTCTATACTTGTCTTTAATACTAGCTGATAAGTGATAACAACAAAATTCATCTGGGCAATAAAAATGAGGTTTTTTTTTCCCCTCAATGGTACACCCTCTTTTCTATTTTTTCACCCTTCTTTTGGGGCACTCAATCCCACACATAAGAGGGGTCCATAGCTATCCAGACAAAAGTTATCATGTAGTTCATGTAGTAAGTTTGCAAAAATGAAGTAGTTCACAAAGTTTTAAAAAAGTGCACATCATACATCAAGATCATTGATGGCTAAATGAGAAACATAAACCAGAGCTGTCACATTAAGTAAACAGGCATAATGACAGTTTCTGAAGAAAAAAATCTGAGACTTAACTTCTAAAATACTAGGATATACAGTCCTCAAAAATTAAATCCAAGGGGCATAGCAATTGTATAGAAAAAGGCTTTTCCCCTCTCACATTTTCACAAAGGAGGTGCAACTCAATTGCCTACCTAAAGATGCGAGCTCCAATTTAAACAACAGTGAAACAGAAAGAAAAAACAGTATTCTCACTGATAGATTGACTAAAAAATTAGGCCATTGTTACTCTTGAGTCTTGGCTCAAGTTTTGGAATACAATTTTTGTAAGGGAATGATTTCAGTTTTTCACAAAGACTTTGGAGTGTTTCCTTAAAAGAAGGTTTATAACTAGTTCATTACTAATTACTGTTACAGTCATGACGGCATCACTAATGTAATGCAGGAAGGAGAATTTTGGAAGATACATATGAACACAAAAATTTGAATTGCATGAGTGATTAATATTTAATACCTTGTGCTTAAACCATTTCCTGGCACAGCAGATCCACAGCTGTGACACCTCGTATGTTTAGGGCACAAATAAGGTCCACTGCTAACGTTCTGTACTATTCAACAATAAGATAAGGCAAGCCATTTCAATAACAACATGGAAACCCAGGAATTGCCAAACAGAAAATTAAAAACCCACCTTGTGTGGAGGATGCTGACAGTAACAATGGTATGCGGCATCACATCTTCTGCAGAACATGAACTTATTTGGATCTCCAGTTCTTCGGCAGACCTGGAGTGAACAGAATTGAACATTGTAGAGCATCATACGTAAAAGACATAACCGCTTGGAAACCAGTTTTGCTATGAATAGGAGATAATAGATTGATATGTTGCACAAGCACCAAATAATCAATTACAAATACAGATCATCATGAATGTGTGTTCATTCAATAAATGTAACAAAAACAAGATCAGAAGAATAGGCTAATATACAGTTCAAGAGACTGTGGCAAGGAAGAAATGCCACAGCCTAATCCATCATTAGATTGAAGCCTATGACATCAACATTAAGGCTCCTCTGAAGGCACCAAATGGTCAGATAAATAAAAGGTTTGGGGAAAAGTTCTTGTATTCTTAATGGAAGCAAATTATGTTTGGACCATAAACTTTAGAGGATATTGATACAATAAGCCGATGACCACATTGCATGACCATGCAGCTCTGTTCTTGTACTCTTGACAAAAATACAGTGACTTTTGCTGCAAAAGACACAAGGCACCAGAGACACTGGATATAAAACAAGACCTCTTAACGCTATAATTTTGAGCCAAGTGCAAGGCAGACAATTTTTACTATGAATAAATAACAGCATGAACAAAATTGCTATTTCAATTGGATCTAAAAGCCAGTTACAAGCTTGTTCAGTAAGAGCTCAATAGCTTCTCCTATAAATCTCCTTGCTCTCAATTTCAGAACCATTGAGCCCATAAGGAAAACTATAGAAAAAAATTTACACCCAAGTCATCTCCATCAGGAAACTGCAGGCTGAACTGAATGTTGTAATATTATAGCCAGCCAAAAATAGATGAATCCCATTGTCAGTGGAGAAGAGTTGTCTCGTGTCGTTTTGGTGAGGGGAGTGGGGGTTGGTCATCTCTTCCAGTCACTATTACGGGAGGCGTTGGTTTGTGGAAATTTATTCGGAAGGGATGGGATGTTTTCTCTACTCTTATTAGATTCAAAGTTCGTAATGGCAGGCATGTTCGTTTTTGGGAGGATCTTTGGTGTGGCGACCAGTTGCTTTCACACTCATTTCCTAGGCTTTATAGCATTGCAACTAATAAGCATGTTTTCGTGATTGATTGTTATCATCTTGATAACAATGGAGTTACGTGGGATGTGCGGTTTAGGCGGTCTTTTCAGGATTGGGAAATGGAGGAAGTTTCCGCTTTTTTGGATATTTTGTATAGGCAGAAGGATATTGGCAGAGGGTGTGATGATATTTTGTGGGTTCCTTTGGCTCATGGTCGGTATGATGTCCGCTCTATGTTTATTCATTTATCCAATTTCGTTGGTTCCGAGTTTCCTTGGAAGTCCGTGTGGTGCTCTAAAGCCCCTCTTCGAATCGCGTTCTTCGCTTGGACAGCTACATTGGGGAAGATTTTGACTTTGGACAATTTGAGAAAGAGAGGCAACATCATTGTTAATTGGTGTTGTTTATGCAAAGATGATAGTGAATCCGTGGATCATATTCTTTTGCATTGTCCTGTGGCGTTTGGTTGTTGGAGTTTTATTTTCAGCATTTTCGGCATTTTTTGGGTAATGCCTAAGCACTCCTCTCAGTTGATTAACGCTTGGAAAAGCTGTCCTGTTAAGAAACAAGCTCGTGCTTATTGGAAGATTGTTCCTAATTGTGTCTGGTGGTGTTTGTGGCGTGAGAGAAATAACAGATCCTTTGAAGGAAAAGAATCGTCCTTAGCTAATTTAAAAATTCATATTCTTCGTTCTTTATTCTTTTATGTTAGAGGAAGTACATGCTCCTCGATTGATGATTTCTTTGATCTCTTGGATTCTATTGGTCCTTAGATCTTTTCTCTTGTATTAGGGATGCGTTCCCCTTTTGAACGTTTTTCTAATATATTTTTACTTATCAAAAAAAAAAAATAGATGAATCCCAATTTATATGATCATTATAAACTTAAAAGTAAGAAAAGTCAATTCAGCTTGGCAGCTCGTTGGAACAGTTTTCACCCTGCTACAGCATCCTATTTCCATTCTGCTGTGGATCATAACTATTACTTTATCTCCCTTGACTAGTGTATCAATATTTTTAGATGCAGGATAGAAATTCTAATTTCTTGACAAGAATAAAAAATAATTCTAAAAATTCTTAATTCAAGCCATTTTCAGGCCAGCTATCTGCCATATGATACCAAAAGGCATAACTTCCCCTAGACATTTCCATTTGAAATTTCAATTACTGGTTTCATTATTCGCCATCTAAATTCTACACAAAGGAACCTCCTCATTAGGCAAAAAGATAGAAAAGAGTTTGATTATTTGTATGATATATTGAAAACAACAAGATATACCTACTAATTCCCCTTTATTTCCTATTGGATTATATGAGATATTCTATCATATGATTTTATAAATTATGTTTATATAGGCTAGTAATCCCCAAAACCAGAAACCGCTATGCTTTCCCTTTAGAGAAAGTGAACCTCCACACCATTAAGCCTTACTGAACCACGTTGCTTTTGAGTCCTTACCTTTCCACTGTTGTTCCACTTTTCAAAGAAAGAACAGGAATAATAATAATAAGAGGTCCCTAAATGCCTTTCCTGGATATGAGTGGAAAGTGAATTCAGGAAGCTAAACTTGACATGAAAAATCACCCACTTCCCTCTACTGTTAAAGGTTAGATATCACACTGGAACTTCCCCGTTTCATCTTTTCTGTCTATTTGGATAATTTCTTGGACTCTCACGTTTTCAGAAATCCTTAATTCTAATTATGTTCTCTGCTAAATGTTTATCATTCACCACAGCATAAAAAAAAATCATTCTATTCGATTAATAAGCTACAATATTACGCAGCAAAAGGGTGACTGGTGTAATAGTTATCTATAAACTTCAAAAGTGCTTTCATTTCAAGGAATGCAAAACACTTGCACTACTAAGGACGTGTCTCTGGCTGTCTGCTCTCCGTACAGAACACTATTAAGACCTCTTGAACCATAGATTGTAGTCCTTATAATACTATATCCCTTCACCAACAATTCCCTTTATCCAATTTGATATATGTTTTACAACTAATAAAATTGAAAATGTTAACATTTTATGAAGCATATGCTTGAAAGTATACGTGTAACTAAAAGTCTAAAACCATATGCTGAGTTTAAAAATGAGAAAAGGATTACTATAGGAATTCATGCATTGGAGAAGTCAGATCCGTCAGATATGCATGAATGAGATAAATTTATGACATAAAGATGGTAAAAGTTTCTAACTGGTAATGCTCTGGATACGACCATGGTTCATCCATAACTGTTTGGTAAAAATGAGTACTGTAACAGAGGGTGAGAAGAATTATGCATAATGAAACAAGAAAATATAACAGCTATAATTTGTTTGTTGACATAGGGAACGGGACGTTCAACACATCAATTTCTAACTATCAGGACACAAGGACACTGCCACGTATACACATGTATTTACATACATGCTTCTTGGTTATATCTTATTGCCATTTTATTAATTCCTTTTATATATATCTTGTATTGAATAAAAATGTCCAATTCAGTTTAAGTTAGATAATCCACTTAATTAAGTTACAATCGATTAAGAGACTCTCTTTAAAAAAAAAAAAAACAGTACTACTACTACTACTACTACTACTATAGGAATTATGCATAATGAAACAAGAAAATATAACAGCTATAATTTGTTTGTTGACATTATTTGATAGGGAACGGGACGTTCAACACATCAATTTCTAACTATCAGGACACACGGACACTGCCACGTATACACATGTATTTACATACATGCTTCTTGGTTATATCTTATTGCCATTTTATTAATTCCCTTTATATATATCTTGTATTGAAAAAAAATGTCCAATTCAGTTGAAGTTAGATAATCCACTTAATTAAGTTACAATTGATTAAGAGACTCTCTTTAAAAATAAAAAAAAAAACAATACTACTACTACTACTACTACTACTACTACTACTACTACAGGAATTATGCATAATGAAACAAGAAAATATAACAGCTATAATTTGTTTGTTGACATTATTTGATAGGGAACGGGACGTTCAACACATCAATTTCTAACTACTACTACTAGAACGGGACGTTATTTGATAGGGAACGGGACGTTCAACACATCAATTTCTAACTACTATTACGTTCAACACATCAATTTCTAACTACTACTACTAGAACGGGACGTTCAACACATCAATTTCTAAGATAATCCAGTTAATTAAGTTACAATCGATTAAGAGACTCTCTTTAAAAAAAAACAATACTACTACTACTACTACTACTACTATAGGAATTATGCATAATAAAACAAGAAAATATAACAGCTATAATTTGTTTGTTGACATTATTTGATAGGGAACGGGACATTCAACGCATCAATTTCTAACTACTACTACTAGAACGGGACGTTATTTGATAGGGAACGGGACGTTCAACACATCAATTTCTAACTACAACTACGTTCAACACATCAATTTCTAACTACTACTACTACTACTGGACGTTATTTGATAGGGAACGGGACGTTCAACACATCAATTTCTAACTACTACTACGTTCAACACATCAATTTCTAAGTACTACTGTTTGGTAAAAATGACTACTACTACTGTTTGGTAAAAATGACTACTACTACTGCTACTACTACTACTACTCCACAACTGTCTACTACTACTACTACTACTACTACTACTGTTTGGTAAAAATGACTACTACTTCTACTACTACCATAACTGTTTGGTAAAAATGAGTACTGTAACAGAGGGTGAGAAGAATTATGCATAATGAAACAAGAAAATATAACAGCTATAATTTGTTTGTTGACATTATTTGATAGGGAACGGGACGTTCAACACATCAATTTCTAACTATCAGGACACAAGGACACTACCACGTAGACACATGTATTTACATACACGCTTCTTGGTTATATCTTATTGCCATTTTATTAATTCCTATTATATATATCTTGTATTGAAAAAAAAATGTCCAATTCAGTTGAAGTTAGATAATCCACTTAATTAAGTTACAATCGATTAAGAGACTCTCTTTAAAAAAAAAAAACAATACTATGCTGTCTTTTGAACTATACCGAAACTTTTGGTTGGACATGCACCCAAAAAACACATCCAATAATTCAATTTATGAACTATAACGAAACTTTTGGTTGGACATGCACCCAAAAAACACATCCAATAATTCAATTTATTATATTACGCTTCAAAACAAATAAAATGCTTATATTGGATACTATTTTTACATATTATTTTGCTCTAGAAAATAAAATAATATGAATATTTAGCAGTGTCCATGTATTCTTTCTGTTTGAAGATTTCACACATCCGACGCATGGATACATACCCATACCCTATACACTTAATCGAGTCCAGGTAGCATAGGTCCTAGTAATCATAGTAAAACAGTCATTTTCCTAACGAACAATTTTAGAAATGGAATGACAACAGAGAAGGACAAAATCATTACCTCACAAATTCGGCAAGAGGGACAGGTCCATGAACTCCAGTGAAATAGATCTGCAATCAAGCCCTTCATCAGATAATGTAAACCTTGCAGAATGACAACCTTGGGGCCATAAATGATACCTCTGTGTTATTTAAAGGGGAAAAAATAATAATACCTCTGTGTTGAGCCCAGGATTTCAGGCAGCTTCTGTGATATTTTTTGCTACAACTTTTGCATGACAGCATCTTCGTTGCTTTCTCACTTCCTTCATTTTCACCAGAAAAGCAAAGCCGGCACATTACTTTGACACTAGACTGACCTCGTTCTTCTCCAAGAAGATCTTTAGAAGCATCCTGAGTATTAAAAAAAATTTTTTGGTATTACCAAAGCTATGGCATTTTGCTTTTCCATAATACACAGACATCTACCATTGAAAAATGGGATGGTTAATGATATGATCTTAACACTTTTGAGTAATTTTCCTGCCTCCATGCCTTTCAAAACCCAAAGAAGCCCAAGTTTTTCAAAAATGCCTTCTTGAAAGTCAGTATCACACATCAGAAAGAAAAAAAAAATTCCGAATGCAAATGCCAAACAAGAAAATCCCAAAAAATTGTTGTCCATCATCAGACCCAACCCAGATGCATAGACTAGAAAATGCAAAACCAAAAGAATCATCATCCTAAGCAATCATCACCTTACCAACTCAATATTTGGAGCCTTCCATAACGAGATTAAACAACATAAGTATATATATATATCACACACAAGCGTGCACATAAAATAAAATCACCTTTGTATGAAATGAAATTCAGTGGAACTATCACCCTTCTAAGCTATGTCCAGATACCACTAACATCAATTCAATATACTAAGAACTCGTAAATACAGAATCAGTTTAAGTAAGTTAAAAATCCAACTTCACTCTCCAAAAAAAAAAGTAAACTAAATTAGAATAAAATTCAATCAACTTAAAATTAATTTAAGAAGCTCACCACCAAAGCACCGGACTCGAACTGCCGCGCATAATCCTCGGCGACCAAGGATTTGGTAGCTGCCTTCTTCTGCATCGCGGCACGCTTGGTCTGAGCGGACAACAACTCCTCTGCATCGCCTCCGGCGCCGCCGACGACACCACCTCCATCCCCGGCTCCTGCCGGCGGTTGCGGTGCAACGACCTTAGGAACGGCAACCTGTACGGTGTCCCTTTCTCGAACCCTAAGCAACCACGGGTCGTTCAGAAACACCTCAACCCTAGCCACCTCCTCCAAAAACTCATTCTTGCCATTCTCGCTCTGCAGCTTCCGAGGAAACCCTAGCGAGCAGAAACAGATTCGCCGGCTGCAAGAGAGAACATGAAACAGACACTTCTTAGAGAGACTCGGCGCGAAATATAGAGAGAGAAATAAATTGTATTTAGAGAGAGAGAGAGAGTAAATCGGATAAATTTAGCGGTACCAAGTAATTGGGCAGGCGACGTGAAAAGCCATACGAGATTCGATTTTGAGTCTAGCAAGTTCTCGAAAATTAAAACGAAAATTTTTTGCATATATTGAAAAATAAAAATAAAAGTCACGCGAGACTAAACCGTGTTTGTGAAGAAGAACTCGAGAAAGGAGATTGTGGTGTGGGCTAAAATTAAATAAACAAATAAAATGCACACACCCTCCTCTCCAACGACGGCGTTATTTGGTAAAAATTCCTGTTTAATGTAAAAATAATAATAATAAGAAAGAAGAATAAATAAAAAATAAAAATAAAAATAAAAAACTAGGGATTTATTTGGTAACTTCCTTTAAATACAAATACTACTATCAAAAACTTTTAAGAGTAATCATAAAATATAATTTTAAGTCAATTTTGTTCATTTTTTGAAGACTTTGTTTATAAAAACAAAAACTACTTGAAATTTTGAGATAAAAATAAATTCAAATAACCATAAAATTCATAAAAATTTCATTATTGGGAATTAAAATTTTGTCGTTGGAAATATATATGTTTCGTATGGTGTTTAAGATAAAACAAGCTTTTATACCTGTACACTTGTGAAATAATTAACATATAAATAATATAGTCGGTCATCAATTAATTAAACAATCTATTTAATATTATTTAATTAATCATACTAAAATGCAATAAATAAAATTACAAACAATTAAATAAATAAATTCAAAAACTAGTCTTTGATACTATCTCCTTTAAAAAATAGATGGTGATGAATGGTTTGTATGGCTCTTGTCACCCAATATATAATGGTTTCCATCCACTTATAGTAGCACTACATGCTTTGTGGATATACGGAATGTCCTTTGTATAATACTTTATCTAGTTTGACCAAAATATATATCTATAGTATCAATATAATGACTTAGGTTTGATCCACTTGGTTCGTACTTATTTCAATATGGCTCAATATTAATACTTTGTTTAGTAGGAATGAAACAACAGGGGTAAAGGGAAGATGGAAAGGAATAAATAAACTTCATTCGTTTGGTAAAAATAAGGCAATGTGATAAAATAAAAAATGATGGATAAATCGTTGTTCCTCCTTTATAAATTTTTTCTCCTCCAAATATGAACAAAAGACACAAATGAATAAAAACAATGTTAATAGATATATTTTTAAATTACAAAACTTTCTTTATAAGTAGTCATTTATCTTTTTTTCTCTCATAACAAATAAAATAAGGTATTATCTTATTCTATCATTTTTCATCCATCCAAATAAAAAGAGGAAAATATATAATATATTCCCTAATGATGCATCATTCATCTCTTTTTATCTTTCTTCCATCCTACCAAATAGAGCATAAAGGTTTTTGGTCTAAATAACTCAAACACATGAACATGACTTAAACTCCAATGGGTTTGCGTTCATGTTGAGAGAGAGAAAATGTGTGGATTGAATGAAAACGACAACCAAATGGGTGGGTATTTGTAAAATATTCGGAGCTTTTTCAATCCAACCCGGCACCAAACACAACCTTTCAGGCTATATAGTCATTGGGTTGTAATGGTTTAACCCACACTGTGTTATAATTTTTGAATGAAAATTGTTTCATCAATCATCAACATATGCCTTTGACTGAACAAGTGTAATCACTGGTTGGTTGTGGGATGAAAAGATGCAACTCAAAACCAACAGACCTAACATATTCAATGTGAACCATTATAACCTATTGCAGTGGTTGTGTCAAGTGATGAAGAGACATATAAATAGTTGTATCTAGTGATGAAGAGACGCATATATATGGTTGTGTCCCGTGATGAAGATACACATATAAATGGTTGTGTCCAATGATGAAGAGACACACCCAATCTGAAAAGGCACTTCCATTGATATAAATACTCCATTGGGCTGTCATTTGCAAACAGTTCAATTCATTTGTTTCTCTCTCCCTCTCTAAACTTGAACACAACCTAAGTGGATTCAAACCATAAATCAAGTGGTCTGAGCCACTTAGATCATAATCCAAATTTATCGAGCCATATTAAAATTGGTCCAAGCCATTTGATTCGAATTGCACCCAATTTAACCTTTATATAGTATAGATGCATTTTGTAATCAAAGAGAGTATTATAAAGAGTAGGTTTACCGTATCCACAAGTTTGTAGTGTTGTTGCTGGTGGATATAGACTGTTGTATCCTGGTATACAAGCGCCACAGAGTTTGTCAGCACCATACAGGGCATAAATTATCTTAAGGATATTGTAACCAATACTAGCCTCGTTCCGGCCAGGATATTTATTTATTATTATTATTTTATTACTTTAATTTACATTTTTAATTAAATATCGAATTTGATATTTAATTAATTATTTTTTAGCATATTATTAATTATCTCATGACATATTAGTATAAGGTTAGTTATATCTTAAATGTCATTTGAAGTATATATTTTCCAACACATTATACCTATTCGGGTTTTAGCAAATAACCACCATCGATTTGGACTTAGTCCATACCCAAATGATTTATTTTAGATACTGGAGTCATATAATTGAATATGGACCAACCCAAATCCAAATAAATTCATACGTACTTAAATCCAATTAGCCCAAACCCAAATTAATTATTATTTTTTTAATAAAAGGAATAATCTTTTTAGGAACCAAGCCGAAACCCAGCCCCAGGCACATATCGGATGAGCCGAGCCAGATTGGGTAGGTCCCATCATTTAATGAGATGAGTTTAGGTGCTTTTTTTACCCTGGCAAACTAGGGGCAGGGGACTATAACACGGGTTTGGGTGCTTTCACATATATTATTAGGGTGGAGTTTGGAAATGAGAATCAAAATAATCACTCGATCTATTTTTTTCAACAAAAATACATAAATAGGTATTTATTATTATTGTTCTTTTCACCTTATTTTATGAATTATTTTGGGCTAGCACATATAGAATGAACAAATTTTATGACTGGAGCTGTTAAATAGTTTGTCATATTTATTTATTTATTTTTAATTGGTCATACCTTTAATTTATTTAAAATTGCAATTATTTGGTTAAATCAACTTCAAGAATAATAGAGCATGTATAAGGGCAAATATATTTGAAAGTTGGTTTTTCTCCACCAAATGAGTTTCCAATTAGGGTGGTCCATGCCTTAGAGCAACACATATGATACTTATTCAACGAGTGAAGCTCGTTGTGGCGAGCATACTGCAATGGTGTGGGGCTTGTTAAGAGGTGGAAACCACAAAAAAAATTTAAGCAGCTCATTACAGACCGCGAGTCGCGTAGGGAGATCTTGCCAAGAAGCGGGCCTCACTTCTTCCTTTTTCTTTCTTTAAAAAAAAATTAAAATAAATTATATATATATATATATATATATATATATATATATATATATATATATATATATATATATAGCCACAAGCAAACATCGTAACTCTTAATTGGATTGAGTATAAATATGGATAACATTTGGCATAACTCCCCACATTAATAAATGTGGAGAGTCGATAGAACACCTAATGTTCTTATTACCGTCAAGATCTAAGCGAAATTTTTTTTCTTTTCCTTTTTCATCCTTGGAATAAATAAATAAATAAAACAGTACAGATCAATACAAGCAATTCTTAGCTACCAGAGCAAGAATATCAACAGGAATATGGACAAGAGCAATATCCTTAATAAGATGACTTATAGAAAGCTTCGCAATAGCATGGGTGCGATGACCAAGTTTATTTTTATTTTTTTTTCCTTTTATATATATATTTTTTATTACATTTTATTATGTTGTGGGGCCTAGGTTGACTGGTTGATAAGATATGTGTGGATGAGAATGTGTGTGATATGTATATGTGTGTTTGCATAGAGAAAAAGTGTAAAATAGGTCAAAATCTTCTCATTCCTCCCACTCCACCGACACTCTATTTTCTCTCTCCCATTATTTTCTTTTTCATTTTACTTCAACCATTTCTCCACTATTTCACCTCCAAACTTTGAGATTTTAGCTTGCCATAGAAGGAAAATTGACGAGGACTACGAGAGGAACAAAACCCCTCAATCAATTTCGGATTTGGAGCACATTTTTCCTTTGAAGTAGCTAGGGTTTACTCCTAGCTTGAGGTAGGGGTGTATTGTGCTTATAACCTAGGAGTTCTTGGAATTTTATAACCATTGTGTGAGTTATGCATACACATGTGTGTGTGGGTTTGATTAGAGAGCTTATATAATGATTTAAGTGCATGTCTATAATGTTTTATTGAGTTCTTATATCAATTTTTATTTGTAATATGTTATTTGTTTCATTGTTTATATTATGGATGTTTATTAAAGTGTTAGATCTTAATGTGTACAATTTATTGTAATTAAAGTGCCTTATATGTTATGTTTATTTATGGTATTATCATGTATTTGTTATTTTGTGAAGGTTCATTTTTAAGATGTATATTTCTATGATGATGTTAAACTTTTACACACTTGAATTTGATATAACGATAACATGAATTCAAATGACTTTAAAATACCCAATTTGTTGACATTGCATCAAAGAGTATGTCATTATAGTGATTTGGACCATAGGACATGGATTATGTGATCAGTATAATTTACGTGCGTTTGTGAGGTGCAATTTGGGCATATCATGATATATGGATTATTTTGTGGACTTGTTTGTTAATTTTGGGAGATACTCGAGGTTGTTAATTAAATAATGCGAGGACTTGGCCGTCGCGGGTGAAACATGAGTTTCCCCACTTTATATTGACTAATCAGTTAGTTTTCGGCGGACTAGTAATCTGAAAACGACTATTTTTATTTAGGCGCATAGTATGACTATGTGACCGGGATGTAGGCGTGCTTTAAGTTATTCTATTAATTGATTTCGACTTTTATTTTCAAGTTGTCATTTATGTCTTATTGCAACTTGTGGATTTATGTACATTATACTATATCATTTATACATGTTTTGATGAATGAATTACTATTGTTTATGCTAGACCATGATGATCCTATTTAGGTTTCCCTTGAGACTAGACGTTAGGGAGCATGTTCATTGTATTGTATGGCCATGTAATGTTTGTAAAATTTTGAGAAATCTAATTTATATTCATGAGATATTCTTACAGAGAAATTCGTTGCTCAACCTGTTGATTCTTATATTTTTCAGGAAAGGGCATTG